CACCTTTTGAGCTACGCACGAACAATTTGAATATTACAAATTTATACTAAGTCAATGGAAAAACTCTAACGGAACACACATTCCACACACAAAACCCTAAATACACAGCTTCATATGTTGATTTACATAAGTGAACAGTTTGCTGATTCTAGCTCAAGCACGTTTAGTGGTACACATGACACAGCATTTTGAAACGGGATTTACTTAGTCAAGGGCAATTAAGCTACTCATTCTGAATAAATATATAATCAAACCTCAAGGTACAAAACTACACAAAATGACCAACATTTCATGTCTAGGATAAATATTGTTTGGGTTGGGGGCTAAGCGCAAAAAAACACAACAACAATATAAAAATTGAAAAAAAAACTAATCTAGGGCAATAATTCTACAAATAATATATAAATGACCAAGCAACCCTACAGGTACATAACTATACTTGCTGACCAAAATTTCTGTAAAGTTTCATGACTCGGTCAAACACGTTATTGCCTACGCGCGACAAAAGTTTAAAATTGCAAATTTTAACTAAATCAAGGACAATTACTCTACAAATACTGAATGAATCCACAATGAACGGTGCACAAGTACCCATGCTGTCCAACATTTCTGTCACGTTTTATATCTCTAGGTCAATTTGTTTGAACTACACGCGACGCAAATTGAAAAGTGAAAATTTTTACTAAGTCTTACTAATTTTTACTTGAAGACAATAACTCTCATAACAAAACTGAAATAAAAGTCAAGGTCTGTCTGCCTATCATTAAACAGTGTACAAGTTTGAAGACAATCAATTCAAAAATAACAAAGTAATAATCACTATAATAGCAAATTAAATTAAATAGAAAATCAAGCACAATTTAGACATTTGACCTTAAAGGTCAAGGTCATTTATGAATAAGGTCCAGATTAGTCTGTTCTAGTTGAAGGTTTGTCCCAAGGGTTGTTGCGACCATGGATGAATACAACAGACTTAACTCTTAAAAAGTTACGAGAAACATTTAAGTTTTAGGGACGGCAATGGCAGCGGGTACGCCAGGACGACTGTAACAAAACCTCTATTTTGTTTTCAAAAACAGTCGAACTAAAATTAAATGCTACACACTCCGAGAGTGCTTTCCCTTAACTAAATCATTTAATTTTTCCAAAAACTCACATGATCTTAAATCATTTGTTCATCAAAGAATTGACATTCACTTGTATAAACATGTAGAGAAGAAATAAACTCTTTTGTAAAAAGATCAACAGATAAAACCGTATGATTATTCTGACTGCTCTTAACTCAACAAAACACTTAGCTGTTATCACACAAGATGGATAATTTATAATGTCTCTTTTTTATGTATCGAGTGTTCTTAATCTTAAATCGAAATCATAAGTCCTTTCCCTTCACAACTTATATCCTAAAAGAATAGTTCTGTAGAAACCATGTTCATCTTATGATACGTCCACGTTCACTTTAGACTTCTGAATATATGCCACAGGAGCATGGCACGTGGGCAACCCAGGTTCTTTTCCATACAAAAACGTGTGGAATTTCTTTATTCCAAAAAAAAAAACAAAAACCATTGCAAGACATTCCATTGCGATAACCGAGTAATTTCTTTCTCTTTTGAACAATTTCATACTTGCGTAAGCTATTTGAAGAAGACCGTTTTAAACCGTTGAGGAAGTGCAGTCTCAACTCCAGTGCCTGAAGCATCGCAATGCAAAAAATATGTCTTTGAAAAGTCTGGAAGTCATTGGTGATCGTGTCAATACTTGCTTTAATGTCGTAAAGGCCTTTCTATGTTCCGGTTTCTATACAATTTTATTTTTATGTCCTTTCTTCGTAGGGTATGTCTTTGGTGTCATTACTTGTGCAAATGGAGCAATGAATTTTCTGTAATATCCAGCTAAACCAAGAAAAAATCTCCGTTGCTTCTTCGACTCTTGTCGTGTTGAGTATCTATCTATACTCAATATGTCATCAATATGACCGGTAAATGATATACTTTCAAATCCAACCAAACATTTAGAATGTTTAATTGTAATCTTAGCGTCTCGTATCTTTTCGAACAACTATCTCAACATTGTTATATGTCTCTCCCATGTTATAGTACATCGTACATCGTCAACGTAGTTATCAGTATCATTTTCCTCTGAAAGAAACTGTCACATCCTTCTATTATATGTTGCTCTGAAATTGACCATTCCAAATGGCATCTTTCCAAGTTGGTAACTATCTTCTGTTGTAAAAAATTCTTGTCAGATGTCTTGATTTTTCTTCATTTACTGTAGGTATTTACCAAAAACATTTGATAAATCATTTTTTTTGCAAAGAACATATCATATTTTAGTTTTGCCATCCTCAACATTACCCGCATGTTCTAAAACATACTTTGTTACATAGTTGAGTCGTCTGAAGGCAATACAAAAGCGGTTTGTATTATATCTTCTATTCTCTAAAATAATTGGAGAATTATAATAAGAATTTGCTGGTTTAATAATGCAATATCCAAGTGTTGTTTTAATTTCATCCTCTATCGCTGCCCTTTTTGAGTATGGTATCGTATATTGCCTTACACGAATTGACGTTTTTTAAGTCAACTCAATCTTGTGAAAATCAAAGTCTGTAGGTCCAGGAATATCAGTACAAATATCCTCAAATTCTAAAAGAAACTTATAATTTTTGTTTTAGAGATAACTGATCATAAACATTCACATTTCTGTATGTCTATGCACAACGTAAATTACTAGGTCTGAAATATTTTCATTACCATCAACCCTAGTATCATTTTGACTTCTATTACAGCTACAGTAGCACTAATATTATCTTCTCGATCTTCGTTTTTCTTCATAAGATTTATGTAGTACACCCAACTGTATCACTTTCTTTTATTTTGTTGTCAAATGTGTTTACTGTTTCACTTAAAACAAATTGACTTTTTTTTATTGTAACAATAGTCTATTGTATGTTGAAGGAAGGAGCAAAAAACTTTTTAAGACTTCTTGGTCGTGCTTACTTATAATAATGGCGTGTGAGCCGCTTAGATTAACTCTAGGAATTTTACACGTTTTTCTAACTTATTTCGTGAATCTAGAACATACTCATACATATTGCGTGTCTCTGGTACTTATGTTCATATTTTATTTCATTGCTTGCATTGGACCTCTTACAGTCCTGCCATATAATAACTCTCATGATGTGAACCCTACACTTGACTGATAATCTTCTCTGTATGTAAAAAAACCGCAGACAAATATCTGTTCTTTTACACACAATTTACACACAAAACGTCACCGCTTGTGTATTAGAGAGTTAAACGTAAATACCTACAACACAAGTTTATCATATAAATGATAACTTTACACTCAACAGTTATTTTATATAGAAGATATTTGTTTGTTTTGCATGTACGATCGAAATACATTTCACTGAGTAAATAATTTATGCAATATTTTCACCACGAGTTAGTAATTATCACAAATTTAATAACTAGTTTTCACGAGCGCAATATATTTTGTATCTTACATTTTTCACTGATTTTGCCGCTTAACATCATGTGTTCTTCTCCATGACGTCATCACATGATGACGTTATAGTACCGATGTTTAAATTTAGTTCTGTAGTTTTTGTTACATTTTAACGCGATGTATGCAATCACTTGCTTGCTTCTCCTAAAGAAGCAGAATTTACATACGATGGAATTTATTCTTGTTGATAATTCCATTTACATATGAAATATCATTTTCATCTGTATTCTAACATATTACGGCTACAGTGCAAATTATCAAATATAATTTCACTGTGAGAGTTATCAAGTATAATTTTAACTTTCCGCTGCAAAGCATGTAAACATTGTTTTATTTTACCAATAGATCGAAAATAATCTGTCAAAGTTTACCAAACATTTTGTTTTGCCAGAAAACATTCTGACTGAAAGAATATATCTTGGAAGAGCCCAAAAGTGTCAGGATAATGGCTCGTGAGAATACTATTTTTAATTCTCACTCGATGCAGTAGAATTTCATTTTACACACAAACAAACAATTATCCTGTATATCTTTTTTATTCATCGTTTTTTCTCTCTCTAAAAATAGGTTTTCTGGAAAGCCCACAAAAGACGCGTGCTATGACGTGAGGTCAAACCATGTTTGTTTTCTGAGAAAACGTTGGACAATTTGAAAATAAACGTCAAATGAGTCTATTTTAGTTACTGTCTTTATATTTCTAAGGTCATTTCGAATATAGCGTGCCAATACGCTCATTAAAATGTCGAAGCCAAATAATTGAAAAAGTAGACAAGTTGAAAAATTTCGATTTCCGTCGAATTTAATGGCAGATTTAAAATTCCATATAAAAGCGTTTTATAGATTATATAATATAACAGATTTGTATTTTTAGCTGGTGAATGTGATGTGATATGTACCGAAAAGCATATCACGTCATATTTATCACCTAAAAAGTCTATATTTGTATAATATGTAAATGTATAGAGAGTTTATGTACTTTGAAATATGATATTTACACTACACTTCAGAGATAACGTTTCGCTGTAGAGTAAATAATTGATCGTTGTAAAAATATAAATCAACAGATAAAGCCGTTTGGTTATTCTATGCAATACTTCTTTTATGAACATCTTTATTATTGATAATTATGTTTTGCTCGATGATATCAAGCTCAAGTTTGATTTTTGGTCAGTTGGGGTAAAAAACTAGGTAACACAATTCAAAGATGGAAAACCTTATTAACACACTAGGGGCTACAGTTTCCGTACATCAGTGATCTAGGTAAAAACTAGAAAACTTTGATCCACGTACTCACTTAAATGTACTTTTACTTCAGTTAGTTTATCGACACTCTTTTAATCAATGATATTTTGAATTCACTGACTGCATTATTATAATAAAACACAAATCAAGTTCGAGAAAAAAAATCACAATATCATAACAAAATGTACAATATTACCAACCCTATAACAGCAATCACGCTAGAAAAGAAACAAAAAATTTACCTGGGCTTTTTTTCGATCTTGTCGGCCATGATGAGTGTAAAAATGAAAGTTGGGTTTTACCTGACATAAACAGAAGTTACCCATAATTCATTGTGTATGACTGAGATTTTCTGCACAACGCAGTAAACAGTTTTCAATATTCAAACTTAAGGTGATTATATCTATAATTTGAGTTAAACGAAGAAAGTTTGTATAAAAGCGTTTAAAATGATATAAATAGACCTTTTTACAGTACGCTTTTTACATAGTTAAGAATGATGCATTTCGCACATGCGCATTCTGTATATGGCAAAAACGCAATTACGAAAGATTATATTTTTATCATAATTAAAAGCTTTAAAAGACGTATTTCAAGTTATGTCATCAGAAAACAGAAATTTTGGATGAATTAAAGTGGTAAGCACATTGATATTTATAACAGATATACGAAAGCGAGACTACTTATTCAATGACCAAATTACCCATACATAAGTCCTCTATTTAATGTTTCATTAGACTACTTTTTCATCAGTTATTTAAATTAAGACAACAGAGTGCCAAAGATAAATTTTTATTATCCCGTGCATTACATAATATTACACAACTTATATTGGACACTTCCTGTGAATAAGTAGTTTGGCAAGGCGAGTGTTAAAAAAGAATGACACGTGACAGGTTGTTATTTGCCAACTAGTTTACAATATGATTCATCCGGGACGTTTTAAAACCATGACATAGTTAATCATGCAAAATTATCAAAAATCGTAATCAGGTTTTGTAATACCAATCTCATCAATGTTTATTAATTTTGTGAAGTGACATAAATTGTGACGTGTTTTTATATGTGTTAGGAGGAGCCGGATAAAATGTGTGTTATTTCACTACCCATCTTAACATCTCAAGATTTTGAAAAAGTATCTAAATATATTTATGTGACTTAAAATTTTCTGTTTGGCATTACAGTCAAGTCGGATAAAGGATAAAATTAGGTAAAATGAAAACTAAAACTGTTATCGCTTGTTCTGATTTTATTTATTTTTCAGAATTAGGATTAACCTAGATTTTGTATGTTATAGAATTTTAGGCTTTATATGAACTATTTTAAAAGCAACTACATTGACTTCTTAACTTGATAACAATTATATTTCCACATTTTTTACAACAAGTATCCCAATGTCAGGTCCGTGATCGTACGGGAGAATTTTTAAACAACAAGTTTTTCCATGCCTTTTAATGAACATCGAGGCCATAAAGCCATAAAGGTATCTTTAGTGTTTTTGTTAAAAGCTATTTTATACGATTTTCTACTTTTTACCTTAAAATAACTCGGAATTGTATACGAACTTCTTCTACATTTCTATGTTGGGTGATGCTCTTTTTGCCCTACGCAGATTGTGCGTTCATGAGAAAATACTACCTGCGGTCATTTGTCATAGCAACGGACCGCGCCGTGAAAAGGTCTTTAGTGTAAGTTCATTTATAAGTACATGTATATTCAAACTAAAGTTATAAAGATGTGTCAATTGCCTGTAAGAAAGAAAGTTTGATATTTTTAAGGCAGAGGCAGACCAACTTTGTACATAGAAGATATTTTCGTTTACACAATGCATTTTTATTCATTACACACGCAAATAAATAAAGTGCTTCAATGTATCCATTAAAATTAGAACAGTGTCTTTTGTCCCTTGTATATCAAAGAACATAACTTGAGATATATACTGGTTGGTAGATTTAATTTGTAGTGGACAGGATACACAGTACAACATCTCAACTCAACATAATACATTAAGCCCACTTATGGATCAGACTCTGTAAATATTTCTGTCACTCACACTGTGATATTAGCTGTCTGTATTCTAATTACAATACCAATTCCTCAATGCTTATTAATTATTAATTTCTAAAAAAATAAACATAATGTACAAACAATGACCAACAACTTCTGATAACACTAAGAATGACATCAGGTGACGTTAACCTTCCGAGGGAAACGTTATGGTAACTGGTCAAAGGGAGATAATCACACAAATTTAAGATCAGTAAAACAAGGTCGACAGAGTAGTCTATGTTGGAAAATAACATTAAATTAAAAATATCACTTGAATACAACTATATAAAAGAAATTCTTACATTTATGACTTTCCATCCTGTAAGAGATTATATAGTATGAAAGCTAAACATGTAGAAGTATGTCTCATTTTATTGTTTGGTAGTAATTACGTCTAACTGACACAGCTGAAGTCATATGGCGACTTTACTGTTTGAGGAAGAACACCGGTACCCCTCTGTGCATTGCGTCAGGCAAAAGCGGTCACCAGAGTAAAACCACCGCCGAGACGAGAGAATTTCAAATTCTTAATTGGAAATCTATTTTTTTAAAGGAACCAGGTTAGAATACCCTTTAGGTAGTAAAATAAAAAAGTTAAAATTATCATCTTTTTCTATATAATTATACACAAGAGCGATCAGTAATCACATGTGTCGCCTCATGATGGCCAATTTCATGTTGGGACAAATTTTGTGACAGACGGACAGTGCACAACTAGACTTGGTACTGATCATTCCTGTAAAGTTTGGATAACATTGCACCAGTAGTTTATGAGGAGTTGTCCGGACAAGCTTTTGTGTATCTGGCAACACACAGAAAAAACACCTTTTTATCAAAGGGCCATAACTCGGCCAAAAATCATTCAACCGGAAAACCCGTGCAAAATGCGCAAGGACTTAAGCTACAGATCAATCCTGTAAAGTTTCATTGAAATTGCATTAATGGTATAAGAGAAATAGTCCGGACAAAGTTTAAATATAAAAATTATTAAAGGGCCATAACTCTGACAAAAAACATTGAACCAAAAAATGATGACAATATGCACAACTAGACTTGGTACTGATCATTCCTGTAAAGTTTGGATGAAATTGCACCAGTAGTTTATGAGGAGTAGTCCGGACAAGCTTTTGTGTATTTGGCAACACACAGAAAAAACACCTTTTTATCAAAGGGCCATAACTCGGCCAAAAATCATTCAACCGAAAAACCCGTGCAATATGCACAAGGACTTGAGCTACAGATCAATCCTGTAAAGTTTCATTGAAATTGCATTAGTTGTATAAGAGAAGTAGCTCGGACAAACTTTAAAATTAAAAATTATTAAAGGGCAATAACTCTGACAAAAATCATTGAACCGGAAAATGCTGACAATATGCACAATAAGACTTGGTACTGATCATTCCTGTAATGTTTGGATGAAATTGCACCAGTAGTTTATGAGGAGTTGTCCGGACAATTTTTGTGACGGACGGGCAGACGGACAGACAGACAGACAGACAGACGGACAGACAGACGACGGAGAAGTGGTCCCTATATGTCGCCACTACTCCATAGAGGCGACACACAAAACATCTAGGTATAGAAGCTCAAATAACCTTCCCGAAAATGACATGTTGTGTTTTATTGATTTTGCAAGTTTCTTCAATTAAAAAAAAAGGTTATGATGTCAAACATTAACTGCAACCGGAGAATTCAAAGTGCCACAAAATGTTTAACCTGTATTACAAATTCAGTACAATCGATAACCATATATACGTCCGCCGCCTTTAAATAAGTTATGTCAAATTGCTGAATAATTTGGATAGTGTGCGGCGGCAAAGCAAGGAGTTGTATACCTTTTTCGGTCTTTCCCGAGGGAAGTTCATGACAAGTGTTTTATGGTGATAATCACCAAAAAAAATAATTTACTGTGAATGTTTCGAGGACTTGGAGGAGATTTCACAAAAGCTTCTAACCACTTTTGATGAAATGTTATGTCGACCCTGTTTTTTTGTTTGAAACAAGTATTGCTTGCAAAATATTTGAAACTATAGATGTGACTACTATAATATCACATCTTATTTCACCTATTCCTAGGAATTCTAAACGGTGATAAACTCAGACTAGTTCATATTTCATATCCTAGATTAACTCTTGTACAGCGTCCACCGGAAAACATCGAAAACGAAAGTAAAAAGGTGTACGTCAAGTTCACCCGAGGTAATGTTTCAACTTATATTTCCATCATAACTTATATACATCATAACTTAATCGATTTTTCCAAACTAAACAATTTTTGGAAGCTGAATAAATCTGGTTTTAGACAAGTAGTTGATTTTTTCTGCAAATTAAATACTTTTTGTTAATTTGGCGATAAATTGTAGCGTATTTGTTAGCTTTTTCAAACGGTGTTGAAATTTACCACAAAATCAAGCCCAACACACATTTTCAGTATCAAAATCAGACTTTAATACAGAATGTAGTCTTCCAACTACTTGCATTTGAGTGGTCACCCATGAACTCGAGCTGCTTTTAGCAAAATATGCGAACAACACTCGTGCCATGTACACAGAGTGTCGCACGGTTTTGTATGGGGTGTAGATGGAAAACTGTTAGCGAGTGTACTGGGTGTAATAGGTAAACGAATGCTATTTTCTGCAAAAAAAAACGAGAAAAAAAACATTAGCATGCACGTATACTGTTCAGACACTGGAAAATAGCCAAACCTTGATTTTTTGGCGTTTGATATTTTCTTCCTTTTAGGTGTTTTGAGCCTCGGAAATAGGAAAAAAGTCACAAGGGGCAAGATAATGGGCTCATAAAAGTGAACTCACTTCTCACCCTCAGTGATGATAATTGCGAAAGATCGATTGTTGTATTAAGGGAACTGTTTCAACAATTGTTTGGAGATTCTTACCCGGGCAAGTTTTTACTCTTTTGTAAGTAAGGAAACATCTGATAATTGTATGAGCGGTTCATAAAGAGATTTAAACGCATTTAGCTATTAACCTAGTTGTAAGTCTTGCATCATTAGCAATCAAATCCTTTACTTTTTCAACCATTGTTGGCAAAATTGCAGTTTTCGGACGGCGTGGATGAGATGCATCTTTTACTGAATCGACACCACTTTTAATTTCTTACACCACCGTGTGACAGATGAAAAAGAAAGTTAATTATTCCCATAAACACGACATATTAAATATGTCTTTAGCCTGTATACTAAGAATACAGCGTTTTTGTTATATAAAGGACCATTTTGATCAGTGAAAGGAGATCTTTTCCCAACCATTTTAGCTTTAGTATACACGCGTAGCTAGCGTTAAGCGAGTTATTGTGAAAGCCAGATTTAACTGATTTACACATGTATTGTATCAATTGAGAGCTTACACAACCATCTATGCGAAACATATTTGAATTATGATTCGTGCAAAACGTGATTGAAAGCGAGATATTGGCCTAGTTGCAATCATATTTTAATACACCTCGTATAGTATGCAACCTTTACGTAACAAAGAGGATATAATGCCATCCAAATGGTCCTTTAAATGACAATTGCTAATATATTGAATTTCAGGCAGGGCAATAACAGCACGTGACAAGTTGGAGCAGATGATAGGATTACCATTCAGTGAATGGTTACCGATTACAAGAGTGGTCCTGGTATATTATGTAATGCGATTGTTTTTGGTGAGCGGAAGACATAAATGGGGTATATATCGGACGTAGTTGAAAGGATGTGAATGAAGGAGATTTACCTGTTTTGTTACAGTCAGTATTTAAATATATGTTGTATTATATTAATGCACATGTGTCGCAAATTCATCTCATATCTGTTAATTTCATTTTGAGGTTTATAATATTTCATTACTTTGTATGTATGTAAAACAAAAAACAATGTTTAGAAAAAGAAGCTATAATGTTGTTGTTTTTCAAATGTTTTCAAATGTTATTCGCATTAATTTATCAGCAGTTTACCAGCCATTTTCAAGTAACTCTTTTCTTTAAAAGGGGTTGAATGTCTTCTTTTTTTGCTTTACTGGAGTTTTATGTCGCCGACGTGTTCATATTTTACTGTTACGTCCAAATGATAGTTATATTTATTAATAAAAATCTAGTAAAAATTAGGCTTGATTCATTTCTTTTGACAAAATATATCATTTTTTATAAACAATGTTAAAAAGTTCTTTGATATGTTTTGTTGCATAATATGTGGGCTATGGATATGTATCAGTAACTTGGACCATATGAAAAATAACTGCGGGCACGCATTTTAATTACAATTGTTATTAAAGTCAGTGTAACGGGGAAATGAACTATTTTGTTTGATCTTACCAATTCTCTCCTTCATGCTTTGGCGTACTGATCAAGGGAATTGACCGCTGCAAGTAACCAGATGGTCTCCCTTTAGAAACGTTGATTCTTAAAGATCAAAACTCTGCTTAAAGGTAAATACGATATACAATACAGAGATATAACACAATATTATGATGAGTAGCAGGCTTTGGATAATGTCAAAATGTATATGTAATTTATTATGTCTCAAGTAATTGCATGTAATGCACAGGTGTTGTTTTGCATTTTTGCATTCCATGTTTAACTTATTGAAATTTTATGCATTACATTGGTGAAATAAACTGTCTGCATTACTTATTTAGTAGACTGAATTGTGGATTAAACTGAAAACTTACTGTCATGTTCTCTTATGTTTATAAGAATGAATATAACGGAGTTCGCAAAACAAAATGCATCAGCAGCATCTACAGACAATGAGATAACTTTTTAATTTATAAGAAATCTTGAGTTTTGCAGTTTACAGTTTTCAATAATATGGAGTGTATTATCAGCATGTGCATCATCTGCTGCCTCTTTAAATTTCATTCGAAAACAATTCAGCTAACACCATGTGTAAATGGTAACCGGAAACAAGAATGGTCCTGGTATGCGATGAAATGAGATTGTTTTTTTTTTGTTGCCAGAAGAACAAAATCCATATTCTATAGGAGTATATTTTGGACTGCGAGCAGAACTTTTGAAATATGAATGGAGGACGTTAAACTGGGCGTTTTTTGAAGCATAAACTTGTGTGTTTAATTAAGTCAGTAATTACATATATGTTGTATAAATTCATATGTGTCGCAAAATCATCTCATGAAATTTTTATTTTGAACATTTATAATATTAAGTTACTTTGTATCTATATCAAATAACTACTTGTTATTTCGAATAAGCTATACAGTGTTATATTTTTTGAAATATTATTTATATAAATAAATCACTAGATTACCAGCCATTCTTTGCAAATTTCTGTCACAGGAAGTAAATGCTCTTCTTTATTAGAGGCTATTCATTAGAGATTTAATTTAAGTTGACCTTGACCTTAATTTGACCTAGAGTTTTTATCCAATTATTTTTATAACTTTATAATTTATTTGTAGATTTGATTTATACTTGTACGAAAGATCACTTATAATAACTTATAATAAGATGTTAAATAATTGAAGTACAAGTTAAATGTTGATGAAGAAAGACTAAAATTTTACCCATTGCTGAATTGACGAATGCATATCTACTAGCCGCCGCGTGCATGCGACGTCTAATAAACTTGGCTTTTAAATGACCTTGACCATCATGGGCAACTATTGAATTTAGCTTAGTGTTACATTTGTTCTTTATTTACGGATTTTACTTTTACCTCGATAAAAGAACCCTTTTGACAAAAACCCAAGTTGAATTATTTAATTATAACTATTGGGCTTTATTTGACCTTGACCGTCAAGGACAAATTATTGAAATTTGTTTTATTTGTCATAACATTGGTAGATCTTTTTACTTAAAGCTTTGATTTATACATGGATAAAGAACACATATTACAAAACCGACATGTTGAAATATTCTCATATGCCTTTGACCTTTAATTGACCTTTATCTCAAGGTCAAATTATTGAAATATGATTAGATTGTTATAACTTGTTATAACTTATTTGTTTATGGATTTATTTAATTCTTGGACACGCCTGCTCAACGCAGACCCTTAGCACCGTCTGATATTTGCTTCAAATCAGGTGTACGATTTCTGGTGCTACTGTTGCTACTGAAAATGTAGGTGGTTCTCTTTTTCTGATTATGTCAATCATTATCAAATATGTTCAAAAATGAAAATTGTAGTTCGACTTAGATTCAATTATAAAATATAGTATTTATTTTCTGAACTCATTCACATATTTTGAGAGAGTAAAGTGTAAAACTCTACGACCAAATATAACATGATGATTAATTCAAATTTGACCTTGACTTTTGAATGACATTGACCGTCAATGTCAAATATAAAATCTGTTTATATATTGTGCACAATAAAATAATGTATTGTAGAGGTATTCTATACTACATTACAATATTCTTCCTTAGACGAAGTGAGATGTAAGGAAAAGTCGAACCTGGCGGCTCTTGTTTCATATACATGTACACTAGTATTATTATGCTTCTACCAGCACATCTTGTTTGTTTCTTTGATTGGGTTTTACGTCACACTGACATAGTAGAAGTCATATGGTGACGTTGGAGGAAGGCGTCAGATGCTCTTCCATGCATTATTTCAGACATGAACGGGCACCTGAGTAAATCAACCGACGTTCTGTAAGCTAGCGAGCTCTCTCACATGGAATAATCCAAAGTCCCTGTCGGGATTCGAACTCAAAGCCATGAGGGGCAAATGGTTTGAAGTCCTTAACCACTCGGCCACGGACGCGCCAGAACATCTTTTACTTATATTACATGGCCAAATGCAACATGCAGTAAGAGATAAGAGTGATATCAGACAATGACGGAATGCCGTTAAGTTAGGTTTATTTACAATGAACAACTACAATGAGAAATGAAATAAAAATGTTTTGTAAGAGTACATTGTTCTGAAACATGGAATTCTGAACCGGATCACATTTGTAATGCACTGCTTTAACACTCGAGCAAAGAACAAGTTCCAGATCAATAAACTCGAACAAGTATACAACATATAGCATATGCATACTTCATAAAGCATACAACAAAAAGGTAACAAGTCAAAGTATGATTATATAACCTACCCCGAATACGAAAAATATGTGTCAAATATGTGTCGAAACAGTTCTGATGAACGCATGAAGGTATCCTAGATATGCAATGCAAAACTGTCATTTGTTATTCCATAAAGCATCCCACATTCTTGTATGGAACCACTAACATTGTCTTTCCTTTTCCATTTTTCTATACTTTTCAGTTTCCCTTTCCACTAGTTCTTTTTCTGTTTCCAACTGTTTTATTCTTTCTTGTTGTTCTTTTATATATCTTTCATTTTCCTTTTGCACAGCATCTTTTTCATGTATTAAGTCGTTGTATTTTTTCCTTTCAATTTCCAGCTGTTCAAGGAGACGTTTGTCTAGTTTGTTGCAATGGGTCTCTAACATTTGTTTCTGTTTATCTAGTGCTTCCATGTACGAATAATGATGCTACTTTAGTAATGTAACCATATTTTCTTTGTTTCTCTTTTGTTCTTGTCTGAAGAATTTTGAAAGTAATAAAATGATAATTATGTTTTATTTTCAAAAAATGCATATTAATGATATATTAATTAATATCTGCTATAAACCGATATCATATATTTGATACATCGGTCGACATTTCCATAGTCCTTAAAATCTATAAGATCTATTTACATGTTAATTTCATTGTATCTAAGGCAAACTATGTTGCACAGATTGCCAAATCCCCCAATCGAACAGGAAAAAAATTATAAAAAGAGGGTAGAGTTACCATAAGAGTGCGCTCCACTCATCCTCAATGACTTCTTACTACCTATGAAGTTCTAAATGATTTTCTAAAATGTTTTGGGCAACGCTCATGTCATCAATGTTGAACGGACGGAAAGAAGGACGGACGGAAACTCCGTCGCTTTTTCGGCAGGGAAAAAAGGCTCTGTTTTATTCAAAGAGGTATCGCAGAAGTTGATATCATGGACCACAAATTGTTGAATACCTATGATTAGAAATTCTAAAAGCAACGGTCATTTATGTAAAAATTTACTGACCTTGAATATCTTCTACTTGTTTTCGTTATATTTCAGATTCCCTTTCTGCTTTTTTTCTTTCTGTTTCCAATTGTTTCTTTGTTTCTTCTAACTCTATTCTATATCTTTCAATTTCTCTTTGTGATTCTTCTTTTACAAGTTTCATCTTTTCTTCCAACAGCATGTCATATTTCTTTCTTTCAATTTCTAGACGTTCAAATAGATCTTTCTTTTGATCTTTTCTCATTTTATCTAACGCTTCCATTTGCGCCTGCTGGTGTTCCTTTAATAATTTATCGAAGTTTTCTCTGTGCCGCCTTTCTTCATCTGAAAAGAAATCTATTCATTTTAATTACATTTTGTTGATTAGAAATAATAATATAAAAAATCTTTTCATGATTTTTTTATATTTCACACTTAAACAATATATATATATATAGACCACAGTTGACATCTTCATATTTATTTTGGTCCTTAAATTTGTTGGAAAAATTCTTCGGCGCAAGATCCACTTATTAATCTTCATAAAAGGTCTTGTTTTTATTTTAAAAAAGTTCCTGTTAGTTATTGTCATGATGAAATGCCACTTTCCTATTACACTACCGGTAATCAAACATTGGTAAATAAGTAGAAAATGATCATGAACGTTTGTTGTGTATTATTCATAATTGTTGAATTTCATATATTTTGCTATATTTTAACAAATTAACAAACAAACCTGAAAATGATATTGTTATCATTAACGATATTGATGATATTAAGAATTATCTTTTTCAATATGAAAAGTTTCTTGAGTTGACCATGATTATTAAGAATAGTTTTAGTTTTGCATAATTCAAAGGTCATAAATTTTCTTATCTGGACAACTTGTAAATAAATTTTTGTATCTTAAACCTTTCTGGTATTTTATTATATTTTTCGTTTACTTACCTAATTAATCAATATCGAAATTAAATAAGTGAATAATTACGTAAAGAAATAAATAATGAAAATCACAAAATCGGTTTCTTCTTAACAAATTATCCACTACCATGCAAATCGTTTATAACAGGAATTTCCAAAGCGCATTATATATCATGGTCAAATTCTACTGACCTTGCCTTTCTTTTTCTTGTTTCCTACATAATTCGGCATGTCGTCTTGACTTTTCTCTTTCTGTTTCTAGTTGTTTCTTCCTTTCCTCCAGCTCACTTATATATCTTTCATTTTCTCTTTGTGCTTCTTCTTTTTTAAGAATGAACTTTTCTTCCAACAACACTTCATATTTTTTTCTTTCAATTTCTAGATTCTTAAGGAAATCTTTCTCTAGATCTATCCTCTGTTTATCTAGCGCTTCCTTTAATAAGTTATCCCTACTTCGACTTTTCTCATCTGAGGCAGAAAATAAAAAATAGTTATTACATTTCAATGATATGTTATCTTGGGAATATACAAATTCAACAGAACATAAAATCTGATCGTTCGACATCTTCCATAATGTTTCGGTCCTTAAATTATGTAAAAATCATACTTATAATGTGTAAAAATAGAGAAAATAAGAATCCCTAAAGAAAGCCCAACACGGCATAATTGAAAATGTTGAAGGCTCGGTTTGATTGAGCCTGTTCATAGACGGTACTGTTAAGTGCAAACTACCGTCCACGCCCCCTAACACCGGCTTAAGCAGAATTCAACATTTACTATGAACTGGTACAATTAAGAATTTTGAAGAATCCGCAGATGTATTCATATGGCGGTTGTTATGGAACCTTCAATGTGACACGTCAGTGCCATTCCATGAAAAGCGGCATATGATCCCCAAGTTAAAAAATGCGTGTGCCCTAAACGAGAAAACAATGGGCGGAACTAAATAAAATGACATTTTGAAAGGGGATCAGAGGTTATGAAGCCTGCATATTACAGATAAGACGTCAAACGACAAATTTAAAAAGCAGGCCACATATCCTAATGGTGATTATACAGTATTCAAGTGAGGGATACTGGAACCACCCAACAAGAAAAAGCCGAATAGAAAGAACTAATTTACCACAAGCACAACAATAATGTCGTGCTGAACGATCTTTAAGAATCGGAAATATAACATCTCTGATTGAATGTACGGAGCGACTTTTTACAGCCTCCACACGGCACAAACAACGCTGATGTAGCGATAAAATAGAGAAAATAAGAATCCATAAAGAAAGCCCAACACGGCATAATTGAAAAAAAATGCAGGCTCGATTTGATTGAGCCTGTTCATGGACGGTCCTGTTAAGTGCAAACTACCGTCCACGCCCCCTAGCACCGGCTAAAACACTTTACTCAAGATACACTTTTAATTATGCTATAAAAGAAAAATTGAGATTATAAACATTTAATAACAAGCTTTCCTGGACATCATGTAATTATTATGATTATTATTATTACATTTAATCTTAATATTGTTGATAGATATTATAATACTTACCCTTTTCAATGGTTTTATCCCAAACTTTATCCATTTTTACCTGAGAATAAAAAATAACATAATGATAAAATAAACTATATAGATGCTATATAGATACGTTTCCCCCTATTTGATACACATTAGGACATCATACTTATACATAGTATAACGAAGTGTCGGGGAAAATAATTTAGTTCAATATAAACATTCGACATTTCATCATTTTATCCCTTTTTTTTATTTCAAATCAAAATTCTTGTTTTTAAATCTGATTTATTAGTTATTATTAAAGTTTTATTGAAACAGACTTATGAAAAAACAATAAACAAATCACGTATAATACAAGATAAATAATGAAGCAGTCATGACACTGTTGTCAAAAACACTAACCAATCCATGCATGTATCTAAAACACGTTACGTGCCCCTCCATTCTTTAAATTAATTTTTGCATTATGATGCACTTCGGACTTAAGACATTGCTTGATGAAAGTCATACAAGTTACTGTAACTTATTTTTCTGAATTTTAGTCTTTACAACAAATATTTTTCATTCAATATTTATCATCGATCAATCACCATTATAGATAACCTTTATCTTGGCATCGATAGTTTAGTTTACGTTCTATTAATTAATTCTGAAATTTATTTCATCTTAAAATGACTGAACAAGTGTTAAAAGATTTAAAATACTTTCTCAAAATCTAAAATAAATATTTTCCATTCTATAATGTATATAAATATTTCGGCTCAATAATGCTGATCTTTAACCTGAACTTTTTTTTCATATTTGCCATTTGTATCAAGGACAGCATTCCTTCGAAAATAGTCCAGCGCTGTTTGTTGGGCGTTTATATAAATGCGCCGTAAATTATCAGTAGAGACTGATAACTCAATCCCTTTCATTTCATTTGATAACATATCTACAGCCACTTTTTCAATTGTAGCATTTTCAATGTTTGCTACTCTTTCAAATGCATCATTAACATCTGGAACGGCACCGTGTTTGATTGCTGTAACGTAGCTCTCTACCAAGGTTACAAACACTGAAAAGAGTTATCATTTGATATACATGTAAGTTATCTATATATACTGTAGATTATTGCACTGTTATAAATATTGAAATGATCTAATCCAATCAGACCAAGAATGAACAATCTTACAACAATTGTGGTTTATTTGGCAAAGCTATTTGTAAAACATACATGCTCTTGGTAAAAATGAAATACAAACAATTACAACAACAATTACTTGTATAACAGTATTAGAGCAATGCAGCCTCCAAAATTATGAAAAATGAATTATGGATCTTAGAATCTTTTCCATTTCTTACTAAAATTTCTCAAATCGTGAAGTTACAAGTTGATACCTCTAATAATTTTTCAGCTATGCTTCAGAAAAAAATAAATTAGAATAATTACGATGAGCAATAACTAATTAATTATCATGTAAAAAAAAGGTCAAGCGTTATGGATCTAAATTTACAAAACTGATTTTTCCCAATGAGATACATGCATCTGTAAAATTTCAAGTTGAGCCTTTAAGACCTTTTCAGATATACCCAGTACAGACATTAGGTTTGACTGTCAGATCCCCATTTAAGTGCTGACATTTCATTACAGGATGAATTTCACTTATCGTTTAAATGTAAATTGTATAATTAGTAAACGATATATAAATCGATATTACGTTATAAACCCAAATATGTATAAAACTGCAGAACTAATTAACTCTCATTCACTACAAATTGTAAGAAATTTAGCAAATAAAAAAATGGCAATGTTTATCTATAAAGCTTTCGAGATTCGAAAAGAATATACATACCTACTTGGCGAGTAATAAATAAATGTATACCGTAAGACTCAAAAGCTCTTTTCTGAATTTTCATATGTTCCTCTTTACTTATCGAATCATTTTCCTATTTTCAAACTTTGTTTAGCACCTCTAAGATGTATCATTTTCGCTATTTTTTTTTCGTTTCATTTCCCTTATCCTCTTGTTAAAATTGTGTAAATTTTCAATCCATGTTACAATTTCATTATAGCAAAAAACTAAAGGTATATAAATCTTGATTATTGTTAACATAATAATTAGCATGGTTATTTCCCTTGTGTGTGTCATACTGGTTTACCGTCTTCTACTTTCGTTATAGATACTAAAATTCATACCAGTATTTGTATAAATTTTGACGTAAAATAACTGTCATGCTTTAGAGTTTTAGTAGTAACAGGAGTAACAATAATGGTCTCGTTATTTAATTTTTGATGAAAGGCATTATGGTGCATTATGTTAATGTATGTTAGTAATACTTAACATTATAAATATTTATATATGATCATATTATAGTAATACAAGTAGACATTTATCACCATTGATATGTAGTAAGAACACATACGGAACAAGGTAATAAGTAGAACAATCAAATAAATATACATCTATAAAATTATACAGTAGTGTTTTTGATTTAAATTAAAATGTAACTGATATCATACATGTAGTTCTGATAATATATGTATGTAACAATATGTTGAAAGTCAGTACTTTTATTATTCAATGTATGTCATTGTATTGTATTGTCTTGTGTAATTTATTGTATTGTATTGCTAAAGATGTTGTCGCTTCATGGGCTAGAATGAAATTCAAGGCCGCAAAGTCCAGATCTCTCATTATCAAGAATGGCAAAACCACAGATAGGTTCATTCTCAGATTACATAATGAGGATATCCCATCTATCACTAAGAGCCCAATCAAGTGCCTAGGGAAGCGGTTTGATGCAAGCTTGCAAGATGGTGACAATGTCAAGAAGCTAGAAAACCAGGTGGAAGACGGGCTTAAGAAAATTGACAAAAGAAATCTCCCTGGGAAGTTCAAAGCCTGGTTATACCAGCATGCCTTATTTCCAAGGCTAATCTGGCCTATGATGCTGTATGAGATACCAAGCTCAAAAATTGAAGCCTTAGAGAGGGTTACAAGCAGACACCTCCGCAAGTGGTTAGGAATACCACCCAGTTTCTCCGGTGTAGGACTGTATGGAAAGAGCAATCAGCTTCAACTCCCATTTTCTTCACTGGTAGAGGAATTCAAGACAGCGAAGACAAGATTGGTGCTCACCCTCAGAGATTCACCAGATGAGCAAATCCGGGAAGCAGGGATTGTAACCCGTACAGGCAGGAAGTGGTCAGCATCAAAGACCGTTAACCAGGCTGAAAGCTCACTTAAGCTCAAGGACATTGTGGGAATGACCGCTGTGGGACGACAGGGAATTGGTGCTACCAAGACACCCCTGTGGAACCAGGCAGACAAGAAGGAGAGACGTGCCATGATTCAGTCAGAAGTCAGGGGGACAGAGGAGAGTGCAAGACAGGCTAGAGCAGTAGAGATGGGAGCACAGGGAGCATGGACTACATGGAACACCATAGACAGGAAGCTGACTTGGGAAGACATATGGAAGTATGAACCATTACGGTTATCCTTTCTTATCAGGTCAGTTCACGACCTCTTACCCTCCCCAGCTAATCTCCACCGGTGGGAACTTACAACGGATCCAGCATGTGACCTGTGCGATCGTCCTGGCACTATGGAGCATGTCCTTTCTTCCTGTTCCACTGCACTAACACAAGGAAGGTACAGATGGCGTCATGACAACGTTCTTAGGGAGGTGGCTGACTGGCTTTAAGATGAAATGAAAAAGGAACGCAGGAGTAACCCTAAGCTTTGTCACATCAACTTTGTGAAACCGGGTGAAACTGCCAAGACACAGTCGCCACACCAACCATCAATTCTAGATGGCGCAACAGGTTGGAACATGGAGGTGGATGTTGGTAAGAAGCTTGTTTTCCCAAGTATTGTCCAGACCAAGTTAAGACCACATATTATACTGTGGTCTGAGAAAGGAAAGAAACTCATCATGATCGAGTTAACAGTACCTTGGGTGACAAGATGTGAAGAGGCCTACGAGAGGAAAAAAGCAATGTGGACAGAGAGGCTGGCATACATGGCTGTTTCCTTTTGAAGTAGGTGTGCGACGGTTCTGTTCGCAATCTTTGTGCCGACTGATGACTGCGATAGGAACTACTGGGAGGGATAGACGTAGGACTATCCAGAGACTGAGCCAAGCTGCAGAGCGTGCGTCTAGCTGGCTGTGACTGAGACGAAAGGAGAAGAGCTGGAAGCAATCGACCTCCACAACGTAAGACGGTGGGCCCACTGCCAGCAGATATACATGGATAAGGGCCGAAATATCAATGACAGCGAGCACCATGCTGATGATGGAGGTCGATCAGCAATCTAGAAGCACCACAGACAGGAGATCTATAGAAGATTTACATAAGGTGCGTTCCAGATTGTATCTTACTCATATTTCATTTTGTGTCAGGTCAAGGGCTTATTAGCCTAAACCAGACTGTTGTTGTTTATATGTGGATTTTGAAATAAAGAATTCTTCTGCTTCTAAACCATTCAAAGGGCAATCACTAAATTATGTTAAATTGAGTTATATACACAACAAACTTCTTAATATGTTCTATCTATCGGCGAATCTAATAAAACCATTTTTCCCTAACAAACGAAATTACGAACAACGCAATATCCATATCTACTCACCTTCCTCGGTGAAAAGTTTTGCACGATGAAAACATCATGAACACTTTAATATGTTAAATAGCAATGAGATTGAAACATTTTACACGCTTCAAACACCATTTTATGCAGTAATTAATTTTCAACACCATTTATAAGACTTTTAAACTTAATTATTCAATTTGCTGGAAAAAAGAAAAAGTTGTTATTTATAAACAATTACTTACTTCGCCCATTTACTGGTTTACTTGTTAACAATTGTTTTGGTGGTATGCTGTAAATGTGAGATAAAAATTGGGAAGTGACATCTTGAAACATGACAGATAAATCGTCAAATCTCAGATATTCCAGATTTTCAAGGACATCACAATCACCCGGCACAGGGAATGCAAAACACATGCGTTTCTGAAAGTATTTTCTGATGCATTCTCGTGGTTTATTGAAGTTTTTTGCTTTGCCTTTGTTTTCAGCTAAGCTTTTCTCAAGATATTCATTTGCTGATATCGGCTTTCCGTCCTTGACCAGCTTTAGACAGAAATCTCTCAAACAAAGAACGAAATCTGGCAGTATCAAATTCAAAGTCTTGTTATCTTCTGATGATTCACCACGAAACCTGATATTCTTTTCCATTTCTGTTACAAATCTTTAGTTCGTTAAGTTTGATTGATAAACATTAAACCATTTAAAAAAAATCTTTTCTAGAGTAACCAATTATTTATATTAAGACGCCGTTTATATATATTGTTATGATTGTCTTAAATATCCAAATTTCTATGTTCTTTTTTCTTTTTTTGCAATAAACAGTACGTTTATAACTTATATTTTGATCATCAGGCCTGTTGATTAATATATTCTCCGATGTAATGTGTCATAGTTGATGTAAACAAAACTTATTTTAATGATTTTATGATAATAAAAAGGCATGTCTCAAAATGGATTTAGAGGATATGACTTTCATATTGACCATCCACAAACAGTAAGATACCACTATAAAGTTTATTACACATATTATATATTTTCCATATAGCCTATGTAGCGTTTGAGTGTAACAATCCATAATGGCATATCCATCGAGTGAACCCATTACATTATACAAAAGTTGCAACTGGGTCCGACTGAGACTGTTCAAAAAAGATGATGAAAGGGGCAACATCTGCATAATTTTCTTTATATTTATTGCAGTCATTTGCAGAGATTTAACTACATCATGAGTACAGATAAATGACTGTTTTATCCGTCTTCTTAATCATCTTAAAATCACAAAATCATCTTTTATGTGGATTGATACAATAATAAAGGATACGTGAGTTTAGAGACAGCGTCGTTATCGAATGCTCCCTTCACATTATAAACCAGGCAGTTGCACAAAAGTGTCGCTAATGTAAATATATTGTTGTCATGACTTGGGTCGCCCTTCAAATGTTACAGTTCATTTGTTATTTGGGAAAATTACAAAGAACTACTGATAAAACTAAATTTGACATATTTAAAATACAGATTAACTGTATATTTATAAACGCTTTGATCAGATGATGATCAGATATAAACAGTATTGTGCCTGATTTATGTCATATCGTATTTTTCTATTTTCACCTAAATATTGTTAAAACATTAGATACATATCAGTACACAAGAAAAAATAGCATATAAAATTATTTAAGAGCTTTACACATCGGCGGTTTCAGGTCAGTAGTTTAAACTTAATGACAATTATTCATTTGTTTCCAAAGACAACTGGCTGTTTTAAGAAACCACAGAGGGTGACAGACAAGATCAGCAGGATTGTCTTAACCTCTTACTAGAATAAAACAATATGTTAAAACCAAACCAATATACTTCTATTGTTCAATGGGTTTTATTTAATTTATTCATAGCAAAACATACATACCTTTTCAACATCACCAAGACCCTCTGTATCAAGTAGCAACAAAACTGTGTCCGACATTTTTGGATGCATTTTACACCATACCCAAATACCTTTGGTTTTCGGTTCAATCGTGTCAGCCAATGCAAAACCTAAATGATTAGTTTATTATTTTTGATACATTCAGTTTAAACAAGAGTTCTATTATCAAAATCAATGATATAAGCTTCTTGATAGATAATCGCGTAAAATCGTTAAGAGAGACTTTTTTTAAAATTGACATCAAAACACAATCTAAAGATATACCTGGATTGTCTTAAAGTATTACCCTTATAACATTATCGGGTAATTTTACCTGTTGTTGATTCTGCTAAAAGATTCATCAGGTATGATTTGCCAGTTCTGTATAGACCTACCACGGCTACAATAACCATTGGCAGATCAATCTGTTTAAGTTGGTTAAGTACTTCCTGCTCCTCCTCCATTTTGATTATTTCTTCACCATCTTCATCCTCCACACTTTCGCTACTAATCAAACACATAGGATGTTTGAATATCTCCATATCCTCTAAAGACCTTCCGCTGTAAAATATGTTTTTTTTACTCTAATTCCTAGTAAAACTATTGACGTTTTATTTATTTATGCTACTCATGACATTTAAAAAAACTTTAAAGCCTTTTCCATATGATGGATGGCCAGTGACGTAGCACCGTATAACATAATACCAATAAAGGTTAACCACAACATAGAAGGACAGAAGGTAATAATGTTTTCGGCATAGGGACGTAAATCATATTTGGTCATGTGTCATAATCAGCTAAAGTCAATGTAAAATAAGTTTCTTTTTAAAGTGTTTGAATTTTTCTATTTCTGCTAAGGCCGATTTTAATGTTTCTTTTGCATTGAAACAGTCTCAGATTGAGGAAATTTATACGGTATCCTGGAATATACATGTATCTAAAAGAAGATTAGTGTTAAAATAGTGGCTGATTTTTGTTATATAATCTTTACTGACTTATCTGTTATTATCATTACAAGAGACCTTTTTCACCTTTTACTAAATGCTTCTTTAAAGCGGAATGCATCCTGAGTCATGCTAATTTTCATGAAACATATGAAAATGTATTTTCATGTAAAATATTGTGAACTGAACAAAACAAATAATTTATACAATTCAAGCGGCATTTACAATCAATTTAAATTACCAAAACCGGTCAAATATGCAAAATATAGGTGTTATTGCTTACAGTAGAAGTATGGTGATAATGGTGATAACTACTGCAATTCCCATCCCCGAAAAACATCATTTATTTGTTGCTCAAAGCATGTAAATTTTCACTTTTTCTTTACTTTTTACTTTTTTGAAAACTTTTTGTTTTCAAATTTGATTTTCTTAAATATTTTGGCAAATCTGGGGACCCTCAAATGCTTCATAAACCCTGAATTTATAACAGTTCGATGCGATTTATGACACATAACGTTAACGTGTTTTATGATTATAGATTTATACTCAATGACATCCCATTGAAGAAAAGCGTTACAATTGATATTCGTTAGTATCCCAGTTAAGATAGTTTGTTAATGTTTTAAATGATTATATAATTTTCTGAACGAAAATGTTGTCTTTTTCCAAAGTCACATACCCACACAAAATATTGCAAAACTAAAAGTGCAAATACACAAAATGGCATACGAATGAATCAAATGCGGAACATTTATTATTTATCATTTATTACGTCCTTTGGTCCTTTACTTCTTTTAATAAACATAATAGAAAAATATGCGGTTAAGTTATATCTTTTCTAAAATTTTCAAATGAAAATAGACATACCTAGCTAATATCAATCATGAAGTAAGTAACAATTACAAGAGCGATCAGTAATCACATGTGTCGCCTCTTGATGGCCAATTTCATGTTGGGACAAATTTTGTGACAGACGGACAGACAGACGGACAGTGCACAACTAGACTTGGTACTGATCATTCCTGTAAAGTTTGGATAAAATTTCACCAGTAGTTTATGAGGAGTAGTCCGGACAAGCTTTTGCGTATCTGGCAACACACAGAAAAAAACACCTTTTTATCAAAGGGCCATAACTCAGCCAAAAATCATTCAACCGGAAAACCCGTGCAATATGCGCAAGGACTTGAGCTACAGATCAATCCTGTAAAGTTTCATTGAAATTGCATTAGTGGTATAAGAGAAGTAATCCGGACAAACTTTAAAAATAAAAATTATTAAAGGGCCATAACTCAAACAAAAATCATTGAACCGGAAAATGCTGACAATATGCACAACTAGACTTGGTACTGATCATTCCTGTAAAGTTTGGATGAAATTGCACCTGTAGTTTATTAGGAGTAGTCCGGACAAGCTTTTGTGTATCTGGCAACACACAGAAAAAGAAACCTTTTTATCAAAGGGCCAAAACTCGGCCAAAAATCATTCAACCGAAAAACCCGTGCAATATGCGCAAGGACTTGAGCTACAGATCAATCCTGTAAAGTTTCATTGAAATTGCATTAGTGGTATAAGAGAAGTAGTCCGGACAAACTTTAAAATTAAAAATTATTAAAGGGCCATAACTCTGACAAAAATCATTGACCCGGAAAATGCTGACAATATGCACAACTAGACTTGGTACTGATCATTCCTGTAAAGTTTGGATGAAATTGCACCAGTAGTTTATGAGGAGTAGTCCGGACAAGTTTTGTGACGGACGGACAGACAGACAGACAGACAGACGGACAGACAGACGACGGAGAAGTGATCCCTATATGTCGCCACTACTCCGTAGAGGCGACACAAAAATTAAATTGTTATTATCGTATACATTAACGAATAATGTTTTAAAGAGAAATATTAAATAAAAACATCAAAAACATAACTTTACTGGCAGGATATTGTTATAAAAATTAAATTTTCACACATAATCGACTGGACACATTAAACGTCCGTCAAAAATTAACGATTAAATTGTGTCCAGTCGAATCAAGATTATGTGTGAAAATTTAAATTATTATCCTAAAAATGACCTAAACCTGTGTTAGCATGAAATTAATATGAACATTGAAATACTACATTACCCGGTTATCGACTCTTTTAGATTATATAATCATTTCAATAGATTATTTTTACCAAGGGTTCAAAATACTACAAGAGTAGAACTCTTTGATAGTCTTTGGACTTTCTAAACATTGACTTAGCACATTTAATTTGTTGTCAAAGCAAATACCCTGAAGTTTTTTCCCCATTATAATTTCATTAAACAGTTAGTAAAAAATCACAAATCTTCACCGTCTGCAAAATTTGTAACGTGCTGACAAGACACTTTTCTGTGATAATGAGACGCTAAGAACAGAATGCTCCTTACTAACACATGTTGTAAATTTTGTTGAATATGTTAAAAAATATCTTACAAGGTCTTCGATGTTGCTTTAGTGATACCGTTATGTTGCAGAAATTTATTTTAATCAAGGAAATTCTTATCAAACAATGTTTATATCTGGGTCTTCCTGTTGCCTATGCTATATTTCATGATATCTATTACTTTCTAGAATCATTTCTAAAGCTCATTGCTACGAAAATATTTAATAATTTGTAATGTGATTATCGTTTGGTTTGAAATACAAGTTTCTAATGTTTTTGAATATAAATATAAGAAACTATTTATTATCGAATTGCATATAATCTCTTAATGATCTAAACGGTGTACTATTACTTTCTTACTTTAAGAATACGGTAGAGTGACTATTTATATTCAGTGTTATATTTCTTTTACAAAAATTAAAATTTTTAAAAAAAAATTTTATTAAAATAAATTTGGCGATCAAAAAAAATTTAACTTGTGCGAAAAGATTTTAAAAAGGAGCGGGAATTTTGATGAAAAAAAACCGTAAAAGGATTTAATAATTGGTCGTTTATTATAAAAAAAAACCTATAAAAAAATTTCTTAAATGTATAAAAAGCAAACATTAATTTGAGAAAATCGATCTCAATGAAGTACCTATCAAACTACAAGGTGTTAAATTTATAATTAATGATCGAAAATTGTTATGTTGGCGAATAACAGACAAAAGCTGATGGTCATATTTTCATTTTGACCTATCTTTGGCACTTTTTCACAGTATTTCCGTTACGATTCAGGTAAAGATAGGATATTAAAAAAATAATGTAGGAATAAGGAAGTTATCTACTGAAATGACCATAACGTCTATGAACTTGTCATCAAAACCTTATATTATACTGCCTCTAACACGAAACATGAAATTTATAAACAAAAAACTAACCTGTTAGAGTAGACCTGACTTCAAAATATAATGAAGATCTGTCTAAAAACAGCAACACTCATCGATTTTCGTGCGATGTCCTATCAATGACCACACACATTTGTACCAATGTGTTTAGTTGTAATGGTAATTTCCTTTCGGTGATTGCAATTTTGTGAATAGCTTTGCCTATCTTATTTAGGTAATTGTATACCTTTTTACAATTTTGAAATGTTCAGTGGCTGCATTTCGAGTTATTATTAAATAAACAGCAATGAGGTCCAACAGGCAAACGGTGAAAATGTGCATCCAAAATCACTATATTATACTTCTTTCTAAAATGAAAATAATGTACAATGTAATTCACACAATAACAACATTTACGCAAGCAAAAATCTCAAATTTTACCTGGGTTTTTCTTTCATCTTGTCGGCCATGATGAATGCAAAAACGAAAGTTGGGTTTTTCCTAACATGTACAGAAGTTACCCATAATTCATTGGGTATTTTGCGCAGCGCTGAAACAGGCAAACTATTTGTTGAGTTTTTACAATATTGAAACTTATTAAGGTGATTATATCTATAAATGAGTAAAACGAAGAAAGTTTATATAAATATATTTTTAAAATAACTGAAATAGTAAATTCATTTATATCTAAATTCAGTCTAAAATTAAAAAGATTTGTTAATTGGCTGTAAGAACGTTTGTTTTGAAACCATTTAAATTTGTTTCAATTTTGATAGTTAGAAGAATTAAAGGCACACGAACGTTGAACATAGTAGATATTTTACCCCCTCCCCACCCCCCCCAAAAAAAAAAAAAAAAAAAAAAAGAAAAACAGTTTTACTATGTGACCCCAGTGTTTTCTTCCTTTTTAGAATAAAGAAAAAACTTGAATTATACTGGTTCGTAATTTGAAGTGAACATATAACATGATACACAGTACAACATCTCCGGTCAACAAAATACATCAAGCCCATCAGACGCTGTAAATACCTCCGTCACTGACACTGTGATATTAGCTGTCTGTATTCTAATTACAATACCAATTACTCAATGCTTATTAATTATCAAATAAAATTAAAAATCATAAACATGTCAAATGACCAACAAATTCCGATTATATTAAGAATGACCTCGGGTAACACTAACCTTCCGAAGGAAACGGTATGGTAACTAGTCAAAGGGAGATAATCATACAAAGAGTTTAGAGTAAAATCAAACAAGGTCGACAGAGTGGTCTTTCTTGGTACAATAAATTAAAAATATCACTTGATTACAACTATTTAAAAGAAATTCTTCCATTCATGAAATTTTATCGTGTAAGAGATAATACATGTATATTATGAAAGCTAAAAATGTAGAAGTATGTCTATTGGTTGTAATTACGTCTAACCGACACAGCTTAAGTCATATCGCGTATTTACTGATGGGGGAGACCTCTGTGGCCTCTGCACATTGCGTCATGCAAAAAACGGTCACCCGAGTATAACCACCAACGAGACAAAATAATTAAAATTCTGAATTGGAAATATTGTTTTAAATCTAAAGGTCTAGAAACGCAAAGAACATTCCCGTAAGTGACAAAAATGACAAATCGGGTTTGATTTTTTAAATTATTCCTCAGTGTAATTACAAACAAATTATTTCTTTCTTTTTGAATCTTATTTTACCATCGTGAAAGGATTTTATGCTGACATTTTTAGCAGATCAAGTCAATGTACGACTTGATGAAGTTGATGTATTTTTTTCTGGTTTAGTAATACTTATCAAGCCGTACACAAATGGTCAATGTCTCCGGTGTACTTTCATCTAGCGCCAATGTTACTTGTGGGGTACCCTAAGGTTCGATCCTTGGCCCTCTCCTATTCGTAATTTATTTAAATAATATGGAGGCTGTGGTTCGTAATAAATTACTTCTGTATGCTGATGACTCAGGTATTTTAGTATCATGTAAAGATATCCAGTATATTACCTCTCAGCGTACTGATGACCTCAGTAGTGTGAGTAAGTGGCTCACTGATAATAAACATTCGTTCACTTTGAAAGACAGAGTCTATTTTATTTGCATCTAAACCAAGACTTAGGTCATGTTACCGACTAAATATTGTACGTAATGATACTACAATTCAATCCACCAAATATGTTAAATATTTAAGAGCTGACCTAGATCAATGTCTATCTGGTTAGTCTATAGCCAATCAGATAATTAAGAAGGCCAATGCAAAACTTAAGTTTTTATATAGAAAGTTCATTTTTAAATAGGTATACTAAACAGCTTTTAGTCAATGTCATTTTGATTATGCATGTGCCTGGGGGTTAAGTCTAAATCTACAAAATGAACTTCAGAATAAGTTGATGAGATTTATACTTAATCTTAGTCCCCGTTCTCATAAAAGGAAGGGCTCATTTGTGGAAGTTGGTTGGTTGCCAGTACATATGAGGGTAAATTTCCTTATTCTTGGTCATGTATATAAGATACACAACAATAGTGCACCTAGTTATTTAAATGAGCATTTTCTAATTGCAAATGAGGTACACTCTTACTCCACTCGAATTAGAGATAGTAACAGTTACTAGTATTCTATTCCAAGAGTTAAGGGTTTCGGAAAGAAAACATTTGTATTTAATGGTTGTTGGGAATGGAACAGGTTACCAACACTTCTTAGGGTCATAAGTGATAAGTCGTGGTAATTTTAAAAAAAATTCTAAAGAAACATGTTATGCAATCAATATCTGTTTAGTCATTTTAATCTCATCTTACTTAGTTTTTATTTATGTATTATTTTATGTTCAGTGCATATTTTAGTTGTCAGACATATCTGTCATAATTATGATTATAATACATGTGTGATAAATTTTGTGATAGAATTACTTATGTTCAATGATTGATATAAGCATCTAAGAAAGTTGTCATTGAATAATTTATGTGCAATATTTGATAATTAGTAATTATTTTGCCTTTCTGGTGTCATAGGATCAATTCTAAGAACCACAATGGAAATAAGTCGGCTTATGCCTTTTTGTGTCATCCTTGGTAACACAATGGAAATGAGTCGGCTTATGCCTTTTTGTGTCATCCTTGGTATTGAATATATGGCATCAACACATGCACTTTCATGTTCACATGTATCTCTTGATGTTGACATTGAATTTGTAGTTGTTTTATGATATGTATTCTTTACCAGAATAAAACTATCTATCTATCCTATGAATTCTGGACGGTTGTAATCTCAGACTCGTTCACATGTCATAACCTAGATTTAATCATTTTGTGTTCTTCAAAGCTACCGTTCCTAAACCCAATATAGTCCCTTCGTTTTAATATCTTATTGAAAGAGTAAAGAAGGTCCGTCTTTTCAGCAAACTTTCTTTTATAAAAAAGCGAACCTATTTCGACTGACAGCATATTATAATAATCTGACAGCCGTTTTTCCTATTTGTTGGTATTATTGGGGTTGCGTTCTCAATCGATTTTAAATCCTCCATTAGTTTGTCTTTATGTGTTTGTTTGATTTTCTTTCACTATGCTTGAAAGGCAGATTCTATCTTAAAGGGCCAATATATTTGAATGTTATGTACTAAGTTAAATAACTATTAAAATCAATAAAAATGTAAAATTATTTAATCGTTTTAAATATTTTAAGGGACTATGAATTTTTTAGTTATATGAATTATTTCGGGAACTACATAAATTATCTTGGACAAGTGTATTGTCCGTATATTCGTATATTCACACTGTAGAAACCAATAAATACGATCTGTGCAGGGTTCGGGAACAACACTGTTCTATGATATTACTTGATGTTAAACTGTATAGATGTGTGGCTAGAACGATTATGTTTCAGGGACTTCCTAACATGACAAATGTTTAAATCTCAAATCTTTAAAGCATTTTACGGATTTACTTAATTTGAACAAAATAAATGAATAAATAAAATTTGAAATTGAATGGAAATATGATGCAAAAAACGAGAAAAAGAAAGCTGTTAATAAAAACTTATAAGTATGACCCGCACCTGGAAATAAACAATGATATTTTTTGGATAAGTGTTAAATACGCGGACATACGCGGACAATTTACTTTTGAATGTGTACATTTCATGTAAGAGATAATAAACATATGCTTTTGATTCACAGAAGTTATCCAAATTATTCATAAAATATTTCAATTCATGTATCTCACTTAAATATCCAAAGGTTACCGAAATCACACCGGAAATACTGTTTAAAAATGCCACGATTTGAAAGGTGTCTGTCCTAAGCCGACATGATCGTTGTTACTTTATCATAATTATTACTATTGTTATTTAACCTTGTGTACCTTCTTTACATAAATAACACCAATTTTCTCAAATTAATTCTTTGCCTTTAAAACTTTAATCGAAATTATCTGCATTAGTTTTTATGGTGAAGTAAACCAGATGTAATTTACCACGATTAAAAATGCTAATTTAGAAAAGATTGTTTTATGAGCTCTTTACACAGTATATAGTTACCGTTTTCGGTTTCGGATCATTAACGGTACAGTAGTTTATCAACATTCTCAATCATGTTGGCACAGCAGTTCCTTTTGTTTTGTTCTTTTATTGCCTTTATTATTGCTTAAATCAGCACAGAATTGTTTGTTTTATGTAATTTATATTTTTGTTTTGTCAGGGAAATTTTACGCTGAAAATAAAAATGTTTTTTTAAATTATTGTAGTCATGTCATTGGCTCTAGTTGTACTTTAAATAGAATTGCACTAGTTATACTATTAAAAAAGGACTCGTTTCTTACATTGAAATAAAAAAAGAACCTTGTATTGAGAAAGCAGTGTATAAGTTACAGTATCCCGTTAGGGCCATCTCCGCATTTTTTTTACATCGAAACTACGATAATGCGATAATACGATGGTTAAAAGTCTACAGCATGATGCCATGGGGTGAAAAGGCGAAACAACGATGGTTTAAACACGAAACTACGATAGTGAAAACGCAAAACAACGACAGTACGATGTCATATATTATATCATAAAAAGAATAATATATAAAGTTGTGTTTTCATCATCGTTGTTTCTACTTTTCACCATTGTGGTTCGTTGTTTTGTTACTTTGACTTTTTATAATTGTTGTTTAGAGTTTTCATTATCGTTGTTTTGTGCTTTCACTAACGTGGTGTTTCTATTATCGTCGTATCGAATTTTTGACCATAATATTTTCGGGCTTTCAGGTTTATAGTATCGTATTTTCACCATCGAAGTGTTTTCGTCATCGTTGTTTCGTGTTTTCACTATCGTGGTTTCGGGTTTTCACTATCGTGGTTTCGGGTTTTCACTAACAACAACAACTACGTGAGTGAAAACACGATACCACGATAAGGAAAACACGTAAACTACGATGATGGAAACGCAACACAGGAATGTCGAAAACTCGATATAACGATAATGAAAAGCCGAGATAACGAAACAACGAAATCATGATTATAAAAAGTTGAAACAACGATGTTGAAAACACGCTATTGTTTCGAGTTTTCAACATCTTACTTTGGTTGTTTTGCGTTTTAATCACCGCAGTGTCGTTGTTTCTACATTTCGTCATCTTAGTATCGTATTATCATTGTAAGATTGAAAGAATATGCTGCGATGATCCTAACGGGACACCGTTTTAATATATGTCATTTAAGTATGAAAGCAACAGTTGGCTGAAGAAATAAAAAGATATCACTGAAAGTTGATATTTTCTTTTATATTATCAAGTGTATGAACAATAGACACATTTTATCTTTAATTTTCTTTTAAAATACTTTCGTTTAGTTTATTCAAAATCAACCCTTTTGTTTATTGAAGCATTCGGTTGTGGTATAAGACCTTGAAATTGGAGGACATTTAATACGGAAACATTTAAACACAAATCTATTTAACAAGATTTAAAACAATAAAATGACACAAACGACTGGATAAGAAAGCATATTGACCAAAGTAATGTTTCTAATTTTATTGACCAGAAGTAAAAGTACATTGAATCAGGGACATTGCTAAAAGAATTAAAGTTTCTCAGTAGTTTACAAATAATTGTTGAGGGAAGAAGTTAAAAAGGTAATACATTTTTGCATCATTTAAAGTTTGTTAATTAATTATCGCACAACTGGAATCTATAGAATGTCATCCGTCAACGTAAAGATGAATAACTATATATTTTTTATTTTTATTTGCAAAGATCGTCTCTAAAGATTTTACTGATTCTTATGTAGTTTTAGTTGTTTAATATTTTTTTAAATAATTTTTACCGAATCAATGCATTCTTGAATAATCGATGTTTACGTGAATTATATTTATATACATCTTTTTCAATTCTTGCGGTCATTTTTACTTCTAATATATTTTTTTTAGAAAAATAGAGGATATTGAATGAGTGTAGGTTTAATACTAAATTTAATGAACTAGTTGAATAAAATCATATTATGTGAGCCTCTTGCGAGCGTAATATTGTTTTATTCAACGAGTTCAATAAATTAAGTATTAAACCTACACGAATATAATATTCTATTTATCACATAAATTATATAAAATAAGAATGGTAAACTGTTTGAAGGAGTAATTTTTCAATGACGCGCCTATAGTGTAACGCTTACATTACCGCGCTTTAACGCTATGTTTATAGCGCAAGTGTTATTACACTAGTGTAATATCGTTTTTATTTAATGGCTTTATTACACTCCTGTGCCGCGGTTTATATGATAATGTGTTATATTGAAACTTATACAGTAAAAGTATCTGTAGAAAGTGTATGTATACATATTAAACATTTTAATTTTTTCACATAATTAGTTAATCCGACATCAAAGGCAGAGGGAATCAATTCATATGTTTTAATTATGTCAACCCAAACCTAAATCTTAAAACCTAAATATTCTTTATTCTTTTTATGTCTAAAAAAACAAGAGCTTTTGCTATAAAATGTTCTTTCAGACGATATATAACATCTTTGTTATCATAGCATTTTTTTTAAATATGTGTCGTCTATTGCGCAGCTGAGTCAGGTAGATACCTTTTTTTGTTATTAGTAAAGAGAGGTCATTCCAATGTTGGCTGTAGTAAATAATAATCCAATTCACCAATGCATAAATTATTACAGTGAAAAATTTAACACTACTCATAATAGTTTTTTGGGGAATTAAAGGTTTAAAAAAACATGACTTAGTGTGTATATCTTTTTATCACCCATGAACATTTTTTTCCTACTTTAAAACATAAGTACAAAATAGCTGGAATGAAAATAGGACAATTTATAAGATAATAGAATGTAGAAACAACGTTTTGTTTTTGAAAAAAATATATTTGGAATGTCTTAATAAATAATAAGTTAGAAAATATATGTAAGGTTTTAAATTAAGTTTTCATTGTTTAAAAATTGAGGCCGGTAGATATCAAAGGACGCATAGAATAAGCAGCGATTCTAAAAAGTTTGTAATGCAAAAAATATGAAAAACAGGATCAACAAGGAAAGGCGGCGTTCAATGAACGCAACCCCCATATGACCCAGCAACAAGCACCAACGGCAAGGAGCCCAGGCGGACCCCAAACATAAAAAGGACAGGGCAACGACACGTTAATCATTAAATGATAAATAATTTGTTTATTTTAAGTTCATTTTAATCTGAATACTTCCTTTTAAAAACGTACTCTATAAATTCAGAAATAAGAAAAAAATATTTCAGAAATCAATTTTGGCCTAGCAGGCGTTTCTTTTTGAGTGGCGGCATGACCGAGTGGTTAATGGGTCGGACTAGTAATCTAATGATCGCTAGCCGCACGGGTTTAAACCCCGTCAGGGGCAAGTCGTTGTTTCCTTGAGCAAGAAACTTTACACTCATTGCTCTGTACTGGTTTGTTCCAGGAACGGATTCGAAGGGGGTGTCTATAAGCTTATAGCTTCATAACTTCCTTATAGCTCACAGCTAAAATAAATTCTGTATGAACCAAAACGCGAGAATCAATAACAAAAAGATATGTTACAACACTTGAAGGGACACTTACGATTATGAATTAATGATGTGATTGCATTGTGATTAATGAATACTCATAAAAACTATTCTAATATGAATGTTTATTTATTTGTCAAATGCAAAATAGTTCGTCATTTAAAATGCAAATGCTTGTGCATGAGTTCATATGTTGCTTTTTCTAAACCAAATGAATGAGTGTAGACCAAAACATGGTAATAAGCCTATATCATTTGACATGATTTTATAACAATGTTTGTAATCAAGCCATGTTATGATATTGGACACATTTTGTCGAACACAATACACACGTACGCATCGTTAATATTTTATTTATTTTATCGTCAGAGAATCTTTATTCATATTTACGTTTGTTTATTCCATTTTTTTTACAGATGTGCTGATCTGTTTTCATTCATTAGTCAGCTCTAAACTGAAAGGAACTCCATTGAGGTAAAAAAAGCATAAAAATAAAATTTGAAATCAAATATGTAAACGTGGACTAGCTAATATTTATAGAAAGCATATGACGAATTGTTTAGAAATGAAAACCTGAATTGTCACCTTATACGAAAAAAAAATGAAAATGCTAAAGGCCCAGTTCATAAACGCCAGTAGCAAATTTTGAACATTCGTCTGCGTTTTCGAGATTTCAACATACAAAATTAAATTAAAAACAAACATTTGCTGATGCATTATTTTACGACGATCCAGATAAGACAAATTCGAGCAATAACAAGAAAAGCAACTGGATTAATGTATGTCATGAATTCATGAGTGATCATTTCGTGAACTTAACTGCTAATAAAACGGTATATTAATTATATTTGAAAGTATTTTTGTCCGTTCTGTCCACTGAAAATAGCAAACTTTAAAGATATTTCCAAATATTCTTATATTTCATTCTTAGATTAGGCTGAGTGAAGAAGAACAATGAAAAAATAATTGTATAATCATAAGATACACATAACTTTCCAGTGCTCTGAAAATCATTCAATAAGACAATAATTGTTTGGCCATTGAGTATTAGATTTCGTTTGATATATTTACAGTCAAGTATTTTTAATTCATTGAACAAAGACCATTGTTTTGCCTTTTACATCTCATTTGTTTTGTACAAAAGCAATACTGACTGTCAAAGAAGAATGGTTAGTAAACGTTAACAATGCAGTGATTTAAAATCACATTACAGGCAAATTGCCGTCTTTCAATTCAAACCAAAACAAGTCTTAATTTTAACAACCACGTTATGCTTTATGAGATTATCATTAAAGTAGAACGTTAAGTAAAAAACATTAATAACTTTCTAACAGATTCGATCGTATAATCGCCTTAGGAATACTGACCGCTTGCTTTAACTGCCTTTTTAAACATTTTACAAATGTAAGAGGAACAGTAAAGACCGAGACGTTCGTTCTACTTAAACAGATTTGAAATTTACATGCTAAATGTACAACCAAATTGTATTTTTTCTTGATCTTGAACCCAGATGGTCCAAAAGCAATCCAAACCTTAGTCAACATATAAGATTGCAATACTAACTTTGATTACAATATCTTATTCCTTACTGGAAACCATTTTCTATTTTTAGTAACATTGACACTTACCTTGATCCCAGGGGGTTTAAAAGCAAGTCCAACCTGGGTCTTCATATAAGCTTGATATATTCCAAGTGTAATTGCAATATCTAATTTCGAACTCCTGTTATTGTCCGGATACTATTTTTCTATTTTTAGAAACAGTGATATTGACCTTGATTCCAGGGGTTTAAAAGGAAATCCCAACCTAAGTTTTCACGTAAGGTTGCTTTATATCAAGTTTGATTCCACACTCAAGTTGTTGTCCGGAATTCATTTTTCTAGTTTTCGAATTGTGACAATGACCTTTAACCCAGAAGAGTCAAACGCAATCCAACCCTGGGTTTTCATATAAGCTTGCTATTTTATATCAAGTTTGAATACAATACTTCATTTGCAAATTCAGTAATTTTCCGTAAAAGAGTTTTCTATTAAAAGTAACAGTGATCTTGACACCAGGGCAACCTGGGTTTGTTTACATAAGGTTGCTCTTCACTTAACAAAAGTTCTAACCGATCACTTTTTAAATTTTGATTATTTTATAACGGGTCAATAGATCCTTATAAAATTTTGCAGAGTTGATTTTTGTGTCATTTTCTACTGATTTGTGGAAAGAAAAATAATTTAATCCGGTTCCATGCACTCACGCGGGAGACAGGGCACGGTTTACACATTTTGACACGAAATGTTCATGCAGAGCATGGTGAGTATTATATTTTACATTGCATAAATCCTTGTTAATTTTATAAGTGAAAAAACATAAAACATGGCAAGAATCTCGATGCAGGATCGTGCCGTAGCAGTTGGAATGTTAAGTGCTGGAGCCTCTATCAGCCAGGTGAGTGGCTGTTCATAAAACATTTTTTTTTTAAATATCGATAAAGTATTTTTTAAATAGAAAATGTTACAATTTTATTATTCTCAATGTGTTCATTCTCTTCGAAATAAAATAAAAGTCGGATCTATTGGTATTATTCTTTTTCATATATAAGCCAAAACTCGGGGTGATCGGTTAGAACTTTTGTTCAGTGTATATACCAAGCTTCCTATTTGTGAGGGTTTAAAATTGGAGACCAATTACGATATTAAATGTAGTCAGATAGTATAGCAAATAGTCTAAAAACTGTTTCAAATATTTTAGTGTCAAAAGATCAAACTGGATTTGTTAAGAATAGGTATATTAATTGGAATACTAGATTATCATATGATATAATGAAATTTACTGAAGATAAAAATATGCCAGTTGTAGTAATCATAATAGATTTTGAAATATATATTAAAATATTTAATACTTCATCTTTTTCATTTCGAAAATAGAAATGTTTTCCTAATTTTATATTGGTTCCATGTTTAGGCAATGGATATCTCTGTGTCAATACAAAGCCGAAACTTGTGTTAAAATAAATGCTTTTTATCCATTTTTTTAAAGTTAGATGAGGTTGTAGACAAGGCGATCTGTTTTTTTTATTTATTTGCAAAGATATTAGCCGTAAAAGACAATGTTAGGATGTTTAAGGTATAATTTTAGCTGGAGGAAATATAAAATTTGTCAACTTGCGGATGATAATCATTTAATGGTTCAGAAAAATAAATTTCTATATACGAGTATTTCTTTAAATTATTAAATAAGTTTACAGAGATATCCGATTTAAAGATTAATTTCGACAAAAACAAAGTTATTTGGATAGGCTCTCCTGAATACAGTTTATTTAAAGATTGAAATTACCATGGGGTAATGCACAGTTCACAAAAAATAAAAATAAAGCAATCATTAAAAATTAAAACATGCAAAAAGGTGGCTTACACATGGTTGATAGTTATAGCTGTATACATAATTTTAAGATAAAATGGTTCTAAAGATATTTATCATGATAATGTTACTAATAGCAATTTTAAGTATTTTTTTAAGCTAGTAAACACATTGTTTATTCTTGATAAATTGTTTAGCTTTTTGAACTGTTTTGTAATTTGATTATCAGTAAAATAAGAAAATTATTTAATGCTTTATGGATTGACATTTTAAAGCTTATATGGTGCTGATAGATAAATATTGCATAGATAATATACATGTAGAACATATGCCACTATTTTGCAATCATAACATTTTAGAAGGATATAACTACATCTACATTCAGACATTGAATAATAAAAAAATCATATTAATTTTGTTAAAGACATTCTAAATGTTAAGGGTAATTATGTAGATTTGATATATTTAGATAACAGGTTAAACTTGTATTTTGTTTTGCAATACACCCGGTACTAGTTTTAAACAGGCAATAAAGGTATACATTTAATTTATATTTTGATTAGTAGCAATTTGCTTGATTTCCAATATCCTAAAATAAGCTATTAAATTAAACCTTTTGTAACAATGAATTACAATAAGAATTATGATCATGAAATTATAGCCAAAAATTCAGGCGTACCAACAAGTCAAGAAAGGTAGGAGACAATTACATGTACATTAATTTGCATTCAAATACATTGTATAATTATAGTTATAATTTCAAATTTTCTAAAGATTTATATATTCAATAGTTCTAAACAAGAATTATTCATAGAACTTAAGCAATAAGTTCATTTTTGTTTGGAATCAAAGTTGCTGACTATAAAAATGGGTACTTTTGCGCAGAGTGAGCGTTTAGGATCGTTGAATGTCCGTCGTCCGTCAACACTTGTTCATTAACACTCTAGCGGTCAAATTTTTGCCTCAATTATCATCAAACTTTGTGAGGATGCTTATTTAGTTGATAGCTCGGATGAGTTTGTACATGGGTCATCTCGGATGAAAAAGAAGGTCACAGGAGCTAACAATAGAAAAACCTTGTTATTGCTCTAGCGGTCACCTTTTTGCCTCAATCATTATCAAACTTGGTCATGATGCTTGTCTAGTTGTTAGCTCAAATAAGTTGGAACGTTGGTTATCTCGGATGAAAACTAGGTCACCGGAGCTAAAAATAGAAAAAAAAGTAAACACTCTAGCGGTCATATTTTTGGCTCAATCATCATCAATCTTGGTCAAGATGCTTGTTTTGGTGATAGCTCAAATGAATTCAAACATGGATTATCTCGGATGAAAACTATGTCACCGGAGCTAAAAATAGAAAAACCTTGTTAACACTCTAGCGGTCTCATTATTAGGTCAATCATCACCAAACTAGGTCAGGATGCTGGTCTTGGTAATAGCTCAAATGAGTTTAAACATGGATTATCTCGGATGAAAACTAGGTCAGAGGAGCTAAAAATAGAAAAACCTCTAGCGGTCACATTTGTGACTCAATTGTCATCAATTTTGTCAGGATGCCTGTTAAGGCCATTGCTCGGATGAGTTCGAACATGGGTCATTTCGGGTAAAAAAACTAGGTCACCTGAGCTAAAAATAGAAAAATCTTATTAACACTCTACTGGCTACAGTTCTGATTCAAATTTCCTGCAAATTAGTCTGAAAGTTTGTTTTGATGATTTCTAGGTCAAGGTCGAACATGGGTCATCTCGAATGAAAAACTAGGTCACACTGCTTAAATATGGATAATCCTTGTTAACACTCTAGTGGTCACATTTTTGACTGACCTGTCATGAAACTTGGTTAGAATGCTTGTCTAGGTAATTGTTCTGATGAGTTCGATGGATCAGGTGAGCGATCTAAGGCCATCATTTTGTTATAAATTAGAATTGAAAAGATATGAAAGAACAAGCGTCTTACCTATATGCATCGATTTTAAATAAGCTTGAAAATAGCATGGAATATCTATAAAAATACAAATTTGACAGAAGATGGAGATAATAATTGCGCAATTGCAAGATATTTACTTGTTTAAACTACACGTCTACATGAATGATTATGAATGTTTAATAAAAGGTAGTAGTTTGTTTTTAAAAGATATATACTTTTATTGTATGTATGTTAATGTTTATGTATATGTTAATAACTGTGTTTGATAAAGGATATTTCTTACATAAACACAATTATTATGTAATACATACATTGTGTATTAAAGATGTAAGGTACGATGGGGGATGACACTTAGCCCCTTTTATTAATAAAGGGGTAAATAAACGTTATAGTCTGATTTTATTGACCTGTCAATAATGAATACATTATAGCACTCATTTAAATATTCGATCCCACTTCGGTTTTGTCCGTTTATTTTACGAGAATTGATATGGAGTATATCACTAACGTTTGGAAAACTCCCACTAGCTTTATGAAGGTTCTCATAATATCCGCAATAGCACAGTCGGTTAAGTGATTAACTACTGTATGAAAGGTCCGCGGTTCGATCCCTTCTTTTGACATTTTTTTAGACTTATTCTGTCTTTATTGTTAGGTATATTTTAAAGAAAATGGTCAAACGCTTGCAAAATTGTCTACATGGATATGAAGCAACTAAGAAACACTGAATTGTCACATTTTGTATTTATTTTACTGCACTGAAATTACATTTTATTGATTATAATCCGAATGAATTTTCAGTATCAATTATATATAAAAATTATAGTATTTACAAAAGAGTGACAAACGGAACAACCATAACTTCAAAAATGTTGAAAATAAGAAAAAAACCTGCACATACACTGTCTCGATCTTACAACATATTGATTTTTTCTACCCGTGGTTTACCCTATTGCGCTATAACGGCCAGTGTAACTAATTAATAGAAACTTAATGAATTTAATCACATCTTACTGCGTACCTCTCACGGAATTTACCAAACATTTATCGAATATTACTATATTCTGTGCATTGACCGTATAGTGATTTATGGAATTGACAGGTTAATAAAATCAAATGTAGCCTTAAACAATAAATATAAAAAATATGATGTTTTGTTTACCAAATATACATATTATGCTTACCGATTACATATATCTTATATTCAGATATAGACAACCAGATCTGAATTGGTGAAAATGGCAACAAATAAAGACGATTATTCAGACAATCTAGCTAATTTAGATTTCAAGTCAAAAATGAAGCTTTTTCAAAGTCAAAATAAGACAAAACAGGTAAATAATAAAATATTATCTTAAGGTTTTCAGATATTTCTAAACATGCAATAGAAAAATAAAACACAATTTTAAATCAACTTGTTATGACAAGGATGAGATTGAAATAAAAGTCTATCTATATACATAAAAGTTAGGTATTAAGATATTTATCTTTATTATCAATAGTCTTCAGAAGCAGTATCGGAGACTTCCACGAGAGAACGACCTCAAACAAAATCAGGTTGTATATTTTTTTTTAAAATTAAGCTCTCAATTCATTTGCAATAATAATAACATTTTTCTTGTTTAATCCTTCAAATTGTAAACTATTTCCTTTGTCTATCTGGTCAATGTTTTCATTTTTTCTTATTAAGTGTACTTTCTTACAAATGTTACCATCTTTTAGAAAACTAAAAAAACATTTTGAAACCATAATTGATTTTCTGTTTTATCTATTATGATTGTAATAAATTTGATGGATAAAATGTTCAATAACATGCTAATCTGAGTTTTGATGAATTTTCCAGCAGCTATTCATTTAACAAATAAAACATGGCCTTGAGGGCAATATGCAAGTTTACGGACTGATTGGTCAGACTGAGGAAGGTATTTTGCCCGAAGGCCATGTTTTATTTGTTATATTATACGGAATCTTAGTCTATTCATCCCTTTTGCATTTTTACTATAATTGCTGTCAAATAATAATTTATTTGTTCTGTGTGCGAAATATCTCAAACCCTTGTCGGATTTTTTATTATTTTTGTCAAGCGATACAGAAAAAAATCATGCTCTTTAATGTCATTCAATTTTTGTTAACCACATTAAACAGGCAAAAAAACGAACTTTAAGATTTTCACAAACTGTATAAATAAATTTCAAAATTTATAATCAACTTAAAGACATATCATGACTTTTGATCAACATGTAAAAAATTTATGTGAAACAAAACAATAAATTCAGTAAAAAGAATCATTTAACTACAAAATAAAATATTATACCTCATTTGCATACGCCCTTCTATATTTAGTATGACGTCATCCAGTCCATATAAGAATTATGGACCGCCCCCGGTCTGTAAGCGGTTTATGGACCGGATGACGCCGTACTAAATATAGAAGGGCGTATGCAAATGAGGTAGAATATTATCTTATGACTCACACAAATATAGTATAAAGAGCTTTACGAAATTCCCTTGACAAGTTGACATATATACAAAATTACACCTAGTTCACATTGAAAACTATCTAGATCATTTTCAGTTTCAACTGTGTCGCAGGAATCTCCGAACACACAAACAGACAAATCTATCAGGTTTGAATGCAATCATTATAATGTAATTGAATAGAAACGTTTAATTCTTAAATTACATTATTTTTACAAAATAGTTTTCTTTGTTGTAACCATTTTAATTGTCTTCTTCATTGCACTAAGATTTGTAAAACGTACTGTTCAGAAATTATAGGTAATGGGTGCTTTTTAAAATAAGAAAATGGCATCGTTTCTTAATTTACTTTCAAAAACATACACTGTTACAGTCCGTGTCGGTACATTTCTGGCAAACATTTCACTATTATGTTGTTTTTGTATGTAAGGGTCTGTCGATACGATGGAAACAGTTTTCGAGTCTTTAGACGAATTGTAAATATCCATTCTTCAATCTCTGGTTTAAAATGATGGTGAATATTGGCTAGTTGTATAGAATTGTCCTTTGATTTTATTTTTATATGATTTGTTGAAGAAGTCATTACTAGTTACATACATGTTAGGGTTGTTGTAAATGCTTATGCATAAAATTGTATATTTATGTAATAACAGTTGATGATTTATGCTATTTTACATTAAAAAGATAATTAAATAAATGAAATAAATCCATGCTGATGTTGCCAATGCTAACGCCTTGTGGGTTAATCTTTAAAGAAATCCTGAATTATTTGGTAGACTTTGGTAGAGTCTTCATCATTTCTCACTGTTAATCAATTTATAGTCTATTATTTTCATCTTTGCGGTTGAATGATAATTGCCTAAAGTAGTTATTTTCAATTTCCGGTTTTCAGTGCAGTTTGCATTGCACATAATAATATGACTATCTTACCTGTAAGATGAACAAATAGCAGATAGTAAGGTATGCATTTGAAAATTCTTATTAATCAACATATATATTTCTATCTTTAGACATTAACTTCTGCTTAACCAAGTGCTATGGGTCGTGCATGCATTTAAAAGCATAGACAGCTTGTATAAGTCGTCAAAATAGAATATAAGACTTTGAAATTATATCACATTTTATTATATCAAGGTAAACTCAACAATGAAATTAAATATGATAAATAACTGGTAAATAAATACCTTTAGTCAAACTGAAACGGGTTGATTTTACCACTGACAGTAAATAGATATAAACTTTAGATATGTGTTTTACAAGCTTTATACATGCTATATTTGAAAAAAGTAAAATCGTAACTAGCAACTATCAGACGAACATAGATTATCTAGTCTCAAGAAACTAAGTTTAAAATCTAAATGAAAGCAATTGTTCGCCTGACTCTCTACAATACTACATTGGTATTTTGCACATAAAGGCTAGTATAACTAGATGATGATTTATGTTATGCTTTTAAATTTTTAAACTAGGACATTTAAAGTGATTTTCATTTCTTTTAAACGACTATTTTATTTTCTTTTTATTTTCTTCTGTTTGCTTTGAAAAAATTTAAATGTGACAAAATTAGCTTTATCTTATTAATTTTAAAAACATAAAATTTACCATTTAACAAAACTTACGATTCATTTTATATTCAGGTCTTCACCACTACAAGAGCCACCAAGTGGAAATAATGAAAGACCATCGAATGCATCCAGGTAAATTCAAATGATCAATAACTGGTAATAGATTTTTAAACGGGAACGGGCTGATTTTATAACTTACAGTAAATGTTTTAAACTACAGATTTATGTTTTACAAGCTTCTTGCATTCAGAAGGTTTGTATGTAATAGTTATAGTATGTGCAACATTTTAGTTACGAGGATATAACACTGGCTGGGGAGACATCAAGGGATGTTTCTGCTGAAAAATGGCGAGGCCGTAAGGCCGAGACAATATTTTGCAGAAACATCCCGAAATGTCGCCCAGCCAATGTTTTATCATCGTAACTCACGAGTGTCATATACTATAACCGTTTAATCGCAATGGCATAATGTTTTTTTTTTTGTAATTTGAATAAATAAATAGATAGATAGATAGATAAATAAATAAATAAATGTATAACTCGTTAGCTACATTACTGTTATTTATGTTAAGGCAGTTTTTTCAAGTTGTTATCTCTGCCGCAAAAAACAGATATACAAAATACATGGATTGTAAACTGTTACCAATATTGATTCAAGATTTAAGGGCTCTTTTGTAGTGGAAATAATTCATTCAGCGAATGTACCCTTTGATTAAATGAGAGTAAATTCATTTCATTAATAATCTGTGTATATATTTTTTGTATTTATTTTATTTTATTTTATTGATTCCATTTTTTGCTACAGTACTGAGAATGTTGGTTTCCACTGCCCCATTGGAGCCTGAGCCTATTTATTTCATTTTATTTTATTGATTCCATTTTTTTGCTACAGTCCTGGGAATGTTGGTTTCCACTGGCCCATTGGAGCCTCTGTGACAAAAACTACATTGATATATGCAAGGTGCGAAAAAACCTCAAGTCCATTTTTTCCCCTATATGAATCAATGAAAAAACTGTACTGCTATCAATACAGTTTTCAAATGTTCATTGAAGTGAACTAAGTATAGTGGGTTAGTAAGAATATGAATCAATGAAAAAACTGTACTGCTATCAATACAGTTTTCAAATGCTCATTGAAGTGAACTGAGTATAGTGGGTTAGTTAGAACAAAGAAAAAGTTCCCAACCCTGGGATTATTACCTTATATATGATAAACAATGTATTTGAAATAAGTTAAATTATAACAAGCAGTATGTTGATAACATATATAATCTATTCTCAAAAATTTAAGTTTAAAAATTAAATAAAGCCATTGTTCGTCATATTCTCCGCAATTCTACATTGGTATTTTGTAAAATAAAGGCCAACATTATTAAATATTATATAATAGCACGAAATGGTAATTCTGGTTAACTGGTTCCCCTGACCAACATTTCAAAATTTAAATCGATTTATTTATTTATTTGAACATTCGAAAGTAAATAGGTTAGAATTCAAACGGTCTGAAAATTAAAGATAAATCGTTGCTTGTTAAGTTTTATATAAAAGATCCATTAACCATCGCATTATCGTTGAATCTAAGGATGTAAATAAACTTCTTTAAGTGTACCATTTTCTATGTATAGATTTTAACCTCTGTTTGATCAAATGCTAAGAGTCTTACACACATTGCAATTATGACATTAGAATGTTTCAAAAGTGTTGATACGTCGCTTAAATAGATTTAATTTATGAAATTATATCACAATTTAGTAGATGAATTTTAAATTGCAGGCAATTTCCGCCGCCTGAATCGTCAAAAGGAGAATCTGCAGAATTAAAATCGCCTTCCGATGAGCCAAGGTAGGTTCATGAATTATTAAAATAAAATACATGAAATTTAACTATTTTAAAGTTAGACATTTAAAACGATTTTTATTGCTGAAACAAATATCATTTATAATTGATATGCAGACTTTCAAGACTTTTTGGTATTCTTTTATGTGTTTTGTGTTTTTTTAACTGTGATGAAAGTTTGCTTAATCTATTAATTTTTAAAACATTTTGATAAATATATATATAAATATTCCGCAAAGTTGAAATTTAGTGCATTTATACCATTTAAGAAAGCTAACAATTGCTTAATTATTCAGGTCTTTGCCATTGCAAAAACCGCCAAAAGGAAATGATGAACGGCCATCGAATGAATCAAGGTACGTTAGCTCAACTATAAATTCTTCATGATAAATAACTGGCAATAGATTTGTCACAATATTACTGCCTGGTTTAATTACTGACATTAATAATGTATATAAATATGTATATTTGTTTTAAAAGTTTCTTCGCAGGCATTTTATGAGGATTCTATGTACCTTATACATAATCATTTTAAATACAGTTAACTCATTAGGAACAATTATCAGACAAACATACGAGAAGGTGATTTATGTAATTTGAGTCAAAGCAATTGTTCGCCTTACATTAGTTTTTTGTATACAAAGGCTAACATAATTAGATTATGATTTGATAGCAAACATTGGAAATTCTGGTTTACTGGTTACCAAAATTTTCAATTCAATTTTCTTAAAAGTTATGTCTGTTTTTAAAAAATGTAGATAACGTTGTAGGCCATTTCCTTAATGAAACTTTTAAGGCTGATGAATTAAAATCGACTCAAGGTAGATTGCATGAATAACCAAGGAAAAAAACATATTAATGCGATAAGTAATTTTACATTAGCACATTTAACGTGTTTAATTGCCTTTAAAAGTATACTTGTTAACTTTAATTTTATACAGACATTTGACATCATTTCAATAGCTTGTGTTTTGTGAATTCTAATCAGACCATAGATTTTTAATCTAAGTTCTTCAAAAACAACAACGAAATGCAGAAACACGTTATTCCATGAAGCTGATGCGTATTGTCTGTTAATCCTTTTTTCAATACGTGCAAACATTTTAAATTAAGGTCTTCAACATTGCAAGAACCACCGAAAGGAAATGAAAGAGGATCTTCGAATGAATCAAGGTGAATTCAACAATAAAATTTCATATATATTATGATTAGTAACAGATAACACATCGTCAAACTATAAAGTGCTGTTTTTCAAGACAGTTTATGTATATAAACTTTAAATACGTATTTTACATGTTCTTGTACACAATCTCAAACACTTTGTAGTTCTTTCCTACTTAAAGGATTTATAACTTTATTTACGTATCCATACGTACTGTCAATACTGTCAATATAATGAACAAACATGGCTGCCCGTCGGGCAAAAGAATTGATTATTGTTCAAATTAGTCTGTCACTCTATGCATGTAGAGATCTATATTACAACACTAATACGTCAGCAAAACTACACAGCATACCCCTGGAAAGTGAAAAAAAAAACGAATACATTTTAACCTTATAGTCAATCAAGGTCAAGTTATTCCAGGTCAAATATCCACTGGTGGAATTCAAAGCCCTTTTTAAGTTGGTGTCCGTTCAATAAGGTATATTTTATCTATATCCCTGGTCAAATCGAAACAATATATTCATACCATCATTTTCCACAAAGAAAAAATAAAAATCATTGAAAGCAATAGCGATTCACAGTAGGTAGATATTCATCGTTACATGTATAATACTATAATACTTGCAGAAATTTATCATGAATGAATGATATCTAGTAAATATTTACATTGTGTCATAAATAAAACTGATTGCACTGTATAAATTCAGATCAAATAAAACTTTTGAAGAAGAATTACAGGAAAAAATAAAAGAAGTTTCTTCTAGAAAAAACCGGTAAGTCATTCAAATTATAAAACAAAAACCTGCCAATCTCCTTTGCCCCTAAGTTTCTTATGAAAGACTTCGTGAGACCTTTGCTAACATTGACGTAAAGGAAAAAACAAAACAAATTTTAAAAATAACTATCTAAACCATGATCTAAACTAGTTATATGTCACGAGAACAATTATAAGTTTACAGCACAAGGCCAAAAAGTTTTAATCATATCCGGTCCGCTGAATAAAGGCAACAACGGTCATGTATCACACTTTACGTCATTAAAGCGAGTTTCCTGTATAGTGAAAGTGAGAATTTTGTATTAATGGCTTTATTTGGTAATCAAGCTTCAGTGTGATAAATATAAACAATACAAAAGACGTTGATTGTTCTTCAAAAGGAAATTTGCCACTTGATTCTATAAAAAGGAAGTCTATCTTTGTTTATACTTCAAAGGGGTTTTCTAGGCAAAGAAGTTTTTAACGACTCAGAGTAAAGGTATTTCAACAAGTGTACTTAAAACATGTCTCATACTTACTTGAAAAATTTAATCGGTGCTGAATTAATAATGTCCCTGCAATAATGACACTTCAATATTTATTATTAAAATTAGAATTGATTATATCAAGTGTTTTATAGCGGTTGGTCTCCAGAAGATATGGAGGTATTCAAGCATCCTATGTGCTTGATCAGTGCTGAAAATGTAAAGAATGAACACGGTGAAGAAGATAAAATCATGTTAAAGAGTGAACAAGAAGTATTCAAACAAATAGAACAGATAGAAATGCCAATGGTTATTGTGGCCGTGGTAGGTCTATACAGAACTGGCAAATCTTATCTGATGAATCGTTTAGCAGAATCAACAAAAGGTAAAATATCAGATTATATTTGAGGGTAATAATATAAGACCATCCAGATATTGTATTAGAGTTTGTTTTTTTTGTCGGTTTAAAAAGCACTCTTAAGTAATTTACGTTATTTTCTATCGAGAAGCTTTAAAAATCAATGATTTTGATAAAATACACCGTTTGTTAATTGGATTTGTTAAAATTATAACAATAATCATTAAGGTTTTGCTTTGGGTGACACGATTCAATCGAAAACCAAAGGTATTTGGGTATGGTGTAAAATGCATCCAGAAATGTCGGATACAGTTTTGCTGCTTCTTGATACCGAGGGTCTTGGTGATGTTGAAAAGGTATGTATGCTTTGACACCCAACAAATATATGTGGTTTTGGTTTTCTTAACATATTGTTTTATTCATACTTACAGGGTAGGACATTCTTGCTTATTTTGGTTGTCGCTCTCTATGGTTTCATAAAACTGACAGTTTGAAAACAAATAACTGTCATTCAGTTAAAACAACTGTCCAGAAACTGCCATTTCTAAAGCTCTTAAATAATCAAAAGTGCTAGTTTTTCTTGTGTACTTAAATGAATCTATTTTTTTATAATCAACATTTAATGCGAAAATGCAAAAATACAATGCAAAAATACGATGAGCGAAAATCAGGCACAATACTAAATGATGGTTTAAATCTGATCATCATCTGATCGAAGCGTTTATCTATATTATTAATGTGTCAGATTTAGTTCTATTAGTAGTTCTTTGTAATTTTCTCTAAAATAACGAACTTATATTTACAGGGCGACACAAGTCATGACAACAAGATATTTACATTAGCGACACTCTTGTGCAACTGCCTTGTTTATAATATGAAGGGAGCATTCGATAACGACGCTGTCTCTAAACTCACGTATCCTTTATTATTGTATGAATCCTACATAATATATGAGACGGATGAAAGAAACATAGACGAGCATTTGTTTGTATTCATGATGAAAAATCTCCACAAAAAAACATTTCTTCCGTTTATAAAAAAAAATGCATAGTATCAATGTACACAGTGTTAGGGATGGCTGTGAAAGTATTATCATCTCTTTTGAAGAGACTCGTTCGGACATAGATGCATCTCTTGAATTTTGTAATCGGACCTATCGATAGTATAACATTATAGATTGTTACACTTGTTCAACGTCACAAAGGCTTTATTGAAAATATTTCATGTTTGATAAAATTTATAAGTACATCTTACTGTTGATGGATGGTCAGTATGAATATGACTTTTCAGATTATCAAGTAATTCCCCCTAAAATAAGATTTTATGACATACCTTTTTATTTTCATAAAATCGTTATAATTTTTTTTGTTTTACTTCAACTTTTACACATTACATCAAAGAACATAAATTGAATATACCATGAATTGAATATAAATACAAACAACACGGTATGAGTAAAAGTAAAAAAAAAGGAGCGAATAACTTGACACACAAGCAATGTTTGTGTATTTGAAGGAAATAATGATTGGATTTCTACTTGGTCAAATGTGCGATCAGAAAATAGCCTGGTGTCCTGTGAGTTTTTTTAAAGTGTTATTATTATTGTTTCTATTTGATATTTAATGACTTTGATAATATCTTCCTTTGCTTTTATAGTTGTAAGATTTAGATGTTTGACACAATCATTAACATGTATATAAAGGGCGTCTGAATATGAATTATTGGTTACTGTACAGAACAATTTTTTTCAGCATTTAAATGTATACAATTTAAACTTAACAAACTAAAGATTTGTAACAGAAATGGCAAAGAATATCAGGTTTCGTGGTGAATCATCAGAAGATAACAAAACATTGAATTTGATACTGCCAGATTTCGTACTTTGTTTGAGAGATTTTAGTCTAAAGCTGATCATAGACGAGAAGATGGTATCAGCAAATGAATATCTTGAGTTCACTTTAGCTGAAAACAAAAGCAAAGCGGCAAACTTCAATAAACCAAGAGAATGCATCAGGAAATTTTTTCAGAAACGTATGTGCTTTGCATTCCCTGTGCCAGGTGATGGTGATGTCCTTGAGAACCTGGAAACCCTCGGCTTTGATGATTTATCTGCCAAGTTTAGAATTGCGACTACCAACTTTGTATCGCACATTTACAGCATACCACCAAAAGACTTGCTAGCAAGTAAACCAGTAACTGGTCCAAGTAAGTAAATATATTTTAGATATTTGCATTTTATATTTTCCGTTTAGATATGAATAATTGATTCAGTTAGAAAGGTTATATTTTATGTAAATTATGTGGAGAATTGATTTTTGGACGTGTTCATTCAATAATTTTTTTTATCATTTTGGGAAACATGTCATGTTAGACCGCAGCAAACGGACCTCTTATTTGTCGCATACATCCTACCTGTTTTCGAATTTTTCAAAGAAAAATAAAGTGTTCTATTTTACGGACCATTCTTGAAAATATCACAGGGCCAGAAAAAGTAAAAGGATAAGTGTTTGGCAACAGAAAATTATCATTTACTCCACTTGAATTAAATACATTGAAGATAAGCATTTAAACCGAATTCAACCTTCTTGGTCAACTAAGTTTGAAATTTCCTTAATTAGCACTTTGAAATGGCATCAATGCTTTTCTTAAATTTCATCATTAAATTAAATAGAGGATCAAGGGATTAATAAGAGTACTGGCTAAAACTGGTGCAGGAGTGATCAATACCATCCCTTGTAGTGCACATCACCTTTCCACTTGGCTGCAAAAGTGGCCACCAAAGCTAAATTAAAAATACTTGTCCGGCCTTCACAGGTCAAAGTACTGGTGGGATTTCAACCAAACTTAACAGGAGTGATCAGTAAAATCCCTAGTTGTGCACATCATCAGTTTGTTCCGCTTCGCTGTACAAAATGGTCACGAGGGCTAAAATTAGAAAAATCTTGTCGTGCTTTTACAAGTCAAGCAGCTGGTGGGACTTCAACCAAACTTTACAGGAATGATCATTACCATCCACTGTTATGTAAATCACTGACACGTTTCGCTTTGGTGCACATACTGGCTTCCAGAGTTATAAATAAAGCTACTGGATGGATATCAATGAAACTTAACAAGAGTGATTATTACCATTCGTGGTTGTGCATATCGCCGGAATGTTCTGGATAGCTGCATAAAATGGCAGTCAGAGCTATAAATAGGAAAAGTTTTGTCGTGCTTTCACAAGTCGAACAGCTGGTGGGATTTAAATGAAACTTCATATGTGTGACCATACATAGTGTTGGGAGACAAATGTTTTTTGTGACAACAACCCTTCTAGTTAATTTATGGACTTTTCCCCTTTGAGAGTTTTTAGTTTATACCTATATGTTAAACAATAAACGAATTTAAATTTATAAAATAACGTCTATAAGTTTATATTACTAGCCTTTAAAAATAATCGCACGAAGAGTACCGGAATAAATATGATATCTTATACATTGACGTTGTAGAGAAATATGTTGCTAATGTTGTTATGACATGTTATGACGACCTATTTGCACTATATTTCGTTGTGAATATTTGTTTACTTACTTGCATTTGCGTAAAGAATGGTTGCAATGGAATATTATTCAATTAATGCTCAAAATGTGTCTTTTACATCTACTATGGTTTATATAAACGTTAAAGAACATTCTAGATATTATGTTGCCAGCAGACCACGTCATAATGTTGAAAAAATCTTTAACCAAATACTTTTTGTTTGGAATTTTAAAGACATTTGATTTTTTACTTATAGAACTAAGGAGGCATTTGCATTATATAATATTTATATGTGTTAACGGTCATTATTCCATTACATTAGAGGTAGAATATCAATGTCGCTGTGACCATAGCAACAGTCCTGGTCTCAATATAGTTAACAAATAAGAATTCTACGTAACTGGTTCTCATTAGATGGTTAGTATACAATGTTTGTTTACAAACAACTTACAACAAATAGCTACATAAATTATTGCTTTTACCATTAAGTCAATGAAACATAAATAATATATATATATATATATATATATATATATATATATATATATATATATATAGAGAGAGAGAGAGAGAGAGAGAGAGAGAGATAAGCATGTTCAGTTGGGTAGAACGCATGTTCAGTTGAGTTGAGTAGAACACATGTTCAGTTGAGTACAAATCAGCTGTCTTTGGAACAACAACAAAGTGAAGTGGCATGTGAATTTTCCAATGTTTTACCAAAAATATGGTTTAGTTTTAAATACAATTTATGCTTTAAGTTAGATATTATATGTTAAATGATTATGCTTTTCAGTGTTTGTAACATTGGTAGACCGTTACGTAACAGCAATCAAACATGGCGCTGTTCCAGATGTTGATGATGCATTTGAAGCCGTAGCAAAAATTGAAAATGCTAAAATTGAAAAAGAGGCTATTGAAATTTTCGAACATCAAATAGAAGGGGTCAATCTTCCCGTAACTTCAGAAATATTGGGGAACTTCTACACAGAAGCACAGCAGAATGCGCTTAACTACCTTCGGAAGAATGTTGTTCATGATAAGAAAAACGATTGTGAAAATAAAGCTCAGGTCAGATCCTTACAACATTTTGACTTAATATATGCATGCATTATTGATAATTTTATAAGTATTATTGCATCGTGCCAAAAAGTATTAAAACCATCATTGATATAAAGCTACTTCAACTTGCTTATCAAACAGTTTGTTTCTTTCAGATGAAAATGGACAACATTTGGAATAAGATCAGAGAATCGAATAATGAAAAGGTTCGTGAATTATGCGACCAGAAATTGCAAGAAGCATTTGCAAAGTATCTTAAAGAAAATTTTGAAAATAAGGAATATGAAGCCCCCGGTGGATATCGGAAATATCAACGTGACATTGCCAGGTTAAAGGAAGATTTTGAAAGTGATCTTCGGGATTTCAAGGAACACGAGGTAAATAAGTCAAGTATTATTTTCTTATCATATTATTTCAATTAATAAAGATTACGTTGAACCTGTTTTGGTCAACTATGCTTGTGCACAGCTGTTTCTAGTAAACACATTTAAATCCGATAAACAATTAAAAAACGTGGACATTTTATACCAATCTACCAACAGTTCTAGATATGGCAAATCGAGGGTACGTGAATATTGAAAAGAAAATATCAGACTTACCAGCACAATAAATCTTTAATTTCAAATAAAATTAATCCACCGGAAACATTGAATTTATAGCAATTTAACGTCTGATCAAATTATCTTATCACCACTCATCATTTCCAAATAATTTCGATGCTATGATTGCATTTATTTCTCCAATATTTTGAAAATTTAAAAGTTATGCTTAGCATGTGTTGTTACACTTTCTTTTCAAAACCTACTTTTAGGTCATTCGGCAACATTCTAGCAACTCCATGTCATAGTTGTATAATTAACAGACTGATTTGATACACATTTTGACCAAACAGAACAAACACTTTGAATTATCATTAATATTGACAAATCTTCGTTATAAATGGATGTATTTGAGTCATATTTAGACACAACAATTTTTTGGACAAAACCTTCAAGTTATTTTACTCAAGTATTAACATTGGCCTTTATTTGTCCTTGACCATCAATGACAAATATGTTAATTTAGTTGATTTCAGTAAAAAAATATTGTATGAACATATATGATTTATAATTGGACCACTGACATGTTGTAAGTTTGATTTAAAACTTTATGTAAAGTATCTCTGTCCCATTGAAACTTCCTACAATGTTGCTATCAAATCATGTTTTGGGTTAACACTTCGAAATTAATAACAAAAGCATTCAGAATCCAATTTTTCAAGTTAATGTTTTCATATATGACTTAGACCTTTGACAGATCTCCAATTATAAAGGTTTTTCCGATGCTTTTGCATTTGATCAAACGAAAAAAGATGAATTCGGGTTTGGTCTTAACCTGAGCACGTTTTGTTCATTGTGAACTTTTAGGGTCATATACTATCTGTCGTCCATCGTTGTCTCTTTACATTGCAGTCAAATTTGTTTCAAAACTGAAGTACACAATATTTGTTCAAATGATACGTTCTTCAGTACGTCTGAGTCACTGACAGAAACTAAGAAATAATAATAGTGCAATATTCGTAAAAATATCTATTCTCCGAAACCATAATATCCGGTGTGTTTAGCTATCTCAAATAAAACCAGCGAGTTTATCAAAATCATATCCCTTTGGTCAAACTTGCGAAAAACATTCAAAATCTTAATGGAAGAAACTTGAAGGCATAAAGTTAAGAAATAGTTGTTACTTCCAAGGTTTGTTTAAGTCCGATGACTAGTTTTAAAACTACTCGGTCATTCTGTCGGCGGCTTAATTTCTTTGAACATATGTAGATATATTTTAGCTTCAAACCCAAAATATATATAATTTGTACAGAAATTCGTGCTAAGATATTTATAAATTAATGTCGTTTTAGCTTGATTTGAGTAAATAAGATAATTTTGATATTTTTGTCATTAATTTGCCTGAGTATCCCTTTAAAGTTTACACTCAAATAAGGGTTTCTTGGTGTTTTATAGCATGCTTGTCTAGACCTTAAAAACCTAAAGATTTTATTTTGCATAATGCATTCTAAGGTAGACCTTCACCAAGTGTTTATATACCTTTTTGTCGAATACTGCACAGCTCTGTGATCATTTAATTTACATTGTCTATAAAGAATAAAATTTTGGAAGTCATCTTTCCTCATAGTACAATGCCGATTATGCATTAAATCGTCTATTGTATTTAATTCAGTTTGTTCATACCAAGTAAATACATACACTTATTTACACGATAAAAACTAACAAATGATCGTCCTTTTGATAAGTGTATGTAATTATGTTATATTAGTCTACATATCCATCCATACTTATCGATGGCACTATGGTAGGCTGTTACATATTTTGGTGATCTGTTCAAATGAGAACAGATAAACAGATGTGCTTCTTGGCGTAGCATTCTTCCATTTCTAACAAGATAGCACGTCCTATTAAAGTTAAATTAATTTCTTAATTCTTCCATTTTTAAAATAATTGGCGTATAGCAAGTGATTAAATATTAGACACGAATTTAAAAAAGATGCGCATAGTTAGTGGCCTATTTCTTATTTCATATCGATGTTTAAACACATAAAATCTGTTTTAATAAAAAAAGTATGAAAATACTGTAGATATTTATAGGAATATACTTTTAAATTGCCGTTCGCGATATAATAAAAATACAAAATATTTGGCACATACCATTACCTTGTTGACAAAAAAACCAACAAAAAACAAAAAACATAACAAAACTGATACCAAGAAATATTAGCATTTCCAAAAATGCTTGAAATCGCCGTTCAGCCGCCATGTATATAGAAATAATATTTCATTTCTTGCCTAATACTTGTTTGTGGTCAACACATAAATACTTGATTTACTCTACCTCGCGCTCAGTTAGATTCTGCTGGGTCGGAATGTAACAGATACTCAATATTGCCCATTTGAAATATATAACAATAACTTGACTCGTAGAACAATAAGTTAGACTACAAGCGCTACTCAATAAGTACGTGCATCAATCGGCAAAAAGAATAGCTTCTTGCGTAATTAACAACAATTAATTGCTACACATTAAAATTGATGTCTGTGAACATGCCATTAATGGAATTTACGTTATATTCTCCGTTGTTTTTTTTTATTGAAACGGACTATAACTGACCTTCTATATTGTAGGCATGATGCAATAACAACCCTCATAGTATTAAAATCGCCCGGAAGAAAGCATTTATAAAGTGTTTTTTTTAAGTGAAAGTTTTGGAAAGCAAACAAAATTCATTCCTTTTTATACTACATTCTCTTATCAGAAATGATATGTAGCAAAAAAATATTGCAATTTGCTGTGTTTCTCCTGCAAGAGACTAAAGACTGGTACTGCATTCGTACATTGATAATGGTTTTATTCAGTTGTATGAATAAGTTACCCGACAAAATATGGCGGTTGGACGATTCCATTTAAGCATCCCTCATGACGTCAATTTTGTTATCATGTGATATTGAATTATTCGCTTTGATTGGCTGAAGGCAGGCGGTGTACAGGTAGAACTGTTCAAATCTTGTTAATTGTATATATCGCCGTCCAGGAACGGCGATAATAATTCTTTGCATAAACGTTTGAATTCATCACGGGCCATTTTTGTAACATTCACTTACATAAACATATGATTGAGACAATTTTCCCTCATTAATGAACATATATCAATGGACGGAAATGATACTAAATAGATAATTCACAAAAAAGCATGCGAAGCGTGGTCTAGTTTAACCAGTTTTCCTTTGATTAAAAAAGCTGTGTTCTATTGGTTAATTTATCTATATATACTTATGATAGGAAACTTATTTTAACCTTCTTGGCTTAAAATAATTTACCAATGATTAGCGCATGTAAAAGATTTACGGGGAAGCTGAATCCCCATCATGTTTTCAAATATTTTACTAGTTATCGCCTGTCGAATAAAGCTATATTGTTTTAGATAATGCAACTGTATAACAGATTTACAACGGTGTTTGAAACATATAGTTAAAAAGTAAACAATTACTTTAACAGATCATGTGGACATGGCATGGATTTGTTAAAGAAATGAAAGAAATAGAAGCCAAAATAGTTCAAGCTGACGAAGAATTGTCATTGAAAGAAAAAGAAGGTATTCAAATGTTACTAGTTTTGTATAATTATGATTTCAGCCAGATTGATACGATTCTATCTTGTGCTAAGGTAAGATCCCCTAAACATATTAGCTCCGCTTTGAAGAGTATTAAAGTAGGCTAGAATTACAGTTAATTGCCCCAGAAGGAGCAACTTTATTTTTTTTACATTTTTATGTAGTTCTCAAATCCCTTTTGGAAAGATAAAAGTGTTTGATCTTAATTAATATATAATTGTTGTAGGTATTTATTGGGTAAATAATGCCAAACTTTATAATAAATATGGTACTTAATATTCTGAAAGTCTAATAAAATAAAAAATACACGGTAAAAGTATTTTATATTTTGCAAGAACAACCAATAAAGTTTTAAGAACATTTAGGCAACCTTTGAAAACAGACCCTCATTGTGGTAAATTTTAGAGATTTTTTAAATAAAGCATTTAAATAGGGAAATGTTCCAATAAGTGTTTAAAGTTGGTGGGAAAGAGTAACATTTTTATACATATTTCAAACACATAGTTTAGAAACAATCTTTTTGCTCGAGTGAGATTTTACCTGAATGCTGAACAAATTTTTCATGATGATGATATTATAGATTATTTAGTCTCCAAGAGCCCTTCAAATAGCAACGTTTTAGTTCAGAAAAATAACCAAAACTCATAAACCATACTATTTAAACTTTGTTCAAATTTTGCATACAGGTGTAAATAAGGTAAAACTGTCCGATGTTGTCAATTTTACAGTTCCTTATGGTGCCAATTAGGATTGTCTTACATTTAAAATGTAAAAGGTTTATATATGCTTGACGAATCAAATTTATCAAAATTAATTTTTGGATACGCAATTTTCTCTCACAGGGACTTTTGATTAAATGTCAATTGTTTGTTCTCAGCCCTATTCAAGATTTTTGCTTTCTATAGCTTAAATGGCATATAGGTGAGGTGAAATGAAACGTAGGCATATGGATATTTTTAAATTGAAGGGGGATAATTTAGTTATCTGTAGTTCAAATCGTTTATGTTATTGGTAAAAAATATGGAACAACTATCTGAAGTTTAAGGAAGTTCCCGAAGAACTAACGAATGTAGAACAAAACATATATTTTACACGAAAGTCTCTTGGTTCAAGGAGAAAAGGTTTTTGAAATGTTTATATCAACTTTACGCAGATGAAAGGCGTAACTCTGTGCAACAGTTATTTGATGATTAAAATAAACCTGTCAAAAGAGATCGTTTTCATGAAGAATAAATTCTGTGATGAGAAATTCAGAAATGCGATACAAAAAAAAAATCCTAGAAAAAATATTCAAATATAATAAAAAGATTACGGTGAACCAACGTTACCGTAAACACGTATTACATGATCACATTTTAATAATTTGTTTTCTACGTTTTTGATAACAATGAAATTTGCAGAAAACATGCATCCGATGCTTCATTGTGTTCATCTAAATATAATGCCTAGTAGAATTGTTTTTGTAAAGAATATTGAAATTTACAGTCTACACATTATTTTCTGAAATTGAAATTGAAAATCGCCCAATTATTAGATAAACCTGGGACTTTAGATCTATTTTAACCCAGGATAAACTTGTTGAACTGTAGAATGATTAAGGCTGAGTGAAGAAGAATAAGTGAAGAAGAATAAGGTCATATAATATATTCTCACACCAAAATGTGTTACATTTAAACCATATGTAAGATAATGAGATTGGAAATACAATATTTACTTATTACATTTTCTACTAGTTTATACACAAATCAAAAGTTTTTATTTTTCCTAAAATATTTAGATTATCCATTTGAATTGTTTATTTTTTTAATCAAAAGATACTTTTTTTCCTGTTTGTTTCATGATATCGATGGGTTAATATGCATTTTATTCAAACAAATAATGACAAATTCTGACGAAAAGCTGATAATTCATATTCGCAAAACCTTAGAGTTTGGTGTTTTGGAACGTATCAATATGATGAAAGAATACCGTATGTGCGTAAACATTCACATACTTTATTTACTAGTCGTCCCTGACGTCTGGTGTCGTCCGGATTGTCTTAATAAATTTCCTTTTCAGAACATTTTATCGTATGAATGTTGTCCGATCTGTTTACAAGTTCTGTAAATATGATATTGATTAGTCCCGAAACACTAAAGTTTTAAAGATCTATTAATCTTTTATTATATCTTTTAAAAGATACTTTTTAATAATTAACTAGCATTTAATAATGATATATATCAGCTCAAGTGATTATTTTTAGATGAGCAAAGACGAAACCAGGAAAGTATAGATAAATTATTAAAGGAGCATCAAAAGGCGCAACATGAAGCACTTGAACAACAGAAAAAAGACCTAGAGAGTCATTACAACAAACTTGAAAAAGACCGCCTTGATCAGTTACAAATTGAAAGGCAGAGATACGAAGCATTGCTACAAGAAAAAGTTGAAAAAGAAGCAGCACAAAGAGAAGTTGAAAGAATGAAAAGAGAACAAGAAGAAAGAATGGCAGAGATGAAAAAAGAAAAGGAAATAGCTAGATTAAAAGCTATAGAAGATGCTGAAAATGAAGCTAAAAGGTTAATTGAAGAAAAAGAAAAAGAAAGACAAAGTCAGTATATGCATACAAGAATGTGGAATGCTTTTTGGAACATGTAATCATACTAATCATTGACACTTTGAATGATATACAATTTTAAAGACAATTATCTGAATGTTTTGTACAGAAGAGAACATTTTATTTTTAAACAAGAAAGTATTCATGTCTTAGTGGCTGTGTGTTTTTGTTCGTTTTTTTTCCTGTTTTTGTTTGGGGAGCGGTTGTTGCTTATGTTCACTTATAATAAAAGTTAGTTATAATATTTATCACTGTGAGTGACACTTAAATATATGTAAGTGGTTTTGTATGAGACCCTAAATTTTAAGCATGTCGGATGTAATCCGGTCTAATTAAACCCAAAAGAACCTATACAAGGCCCAGATTACGTCTCTTTCATTGTATCTGGTCAAAAATTTTAACTGTGAAGTAATGACATTTTGACATATCGGGTCAAAATTTAATGCGTAACTGAACTTAACTTTTCCCATGAAGTTGTATTTGACCATGTTTAATTATCTAATTGCATACCGATAACTTTGTTGTAATATAGGCACCAATATAACGAAAGTTCAGATCTACATATTTTACATGTAGAATGTGTAAAATTTATAAGTTGATTTTAATAAGATAAAAACTCTTAATAAAATGTAAAACTTACACAGTTACAAAACTTGGAAAAGAAAAATATGGTACGTCGCACACTTTTGATTATACATAATTTTGTTTTGTTGTGTTTATTTCAGATGATTTTTATACATTCATTATTATAAATTTTGATATACCCTAGTAAATGAAATATTTTTTGACATGTCGGGACTGGAAATATATTTCAGGTATTTGTGTACCATTTGACATCGGTTTGGACCAATAACCTGTTTGAAAAGTTTTACATAATTCCCTTACCCCATTTTTTCCAGAATAATAATTTGTATTGTGCAAAATGACCAAAAGGAAAATGAAAAACTTTGAAATGCTTTACACTGAAAAAAGCACAAAAGCCGTATAATTAAATTCTGAGTATATTTCATCATCAGTCTCTGCAAAAACTTTTTTCTTTCATTTGATTTATGCAAGGATTTCAAATTATATATGTTTATGCTTTTTTTAACCTTGGTGGAGTACCTTTAATGTACTAAAATTATACTGTAAACCCAAATATAATGCCGCAGTAAATGCCTGTCTGTATTAATTAGCTGTATTCTGCTGATGTTTGAATGAAAATATGGTTTTCGTGATGTTCAAATATGCTAAAATTTCGTGAGAAATATACTTATAATACAATTATAAAAGAGCTTTAAATATCAATATATGTCCGTCATTTGTCCAAACTGCTTTAAAATCATACCCGTGAGCAGTCGCTATCTTTTTTTGAAAATTCTAACTTAAGTAAATGCTAAAATCCAGATAGTTGAAAAAAAAAAACAAAACGAAAACGTTTATCAAAATTTAAAATAAAATTGACTGCAGTATATCTTAAAATTTAAGTGTTACGATTGTTAAGATATCTATTGAAATAACAAACATTCGTATATAACGAATACAGAATATATTAAAATGAAATTTATAAACATTGAATTATTGTTTATCAAACGTGTTTTCTTGATTTACTTATTTGTTCAACATTTTGAACTGAACGATATTGATAATTGTATTGATATCGGTATGGTCCAGTTAATGTAGTAGACTGAAAATCCATGCAGTTTGTTTAGCTTGTAATACTTTAATGTAATATGTGTTTTACATGAAAAACTTCATATATACAATTGATATTTTTATGTTTTGAATTTGCATGCAAATATTAGTTTTTGTTTTGTTTTGCATATTCCTGCATTTCAATTTATTTTGTTAATATCTGGTGATGGTCAATATATTTTATGTATATTCGAGACTATATGTTGCTGCTTTATTTAAATCAACATTGACATTTTTCACATGTATCAATTTTTTCGCTGCAAGATGGATGGATATTCATTAATCAAATAGCGTACACGTGTAACCATTTCGTAGTAAAAAAACAAAGTCAGAAATTTACTCGTTTAACATTTATATAAGCAGTATCATTGAATTGAATTTTCATCCATTTTGTTTGTTAAAGTTATCCAAATGAATATTTATCTTTATTTGCTAAAAATCAGCGTGTTTTTTCTGACTACAACAGTATTTTGTTTATGGACTTAACATTTTTATTTTCATGAGGCACTTTTTTATTCAAAGTTTTTGGTTTATTTCGTTTGATAACTATATACCAAATGAATAAAAAACAACGTAGGCAAAATTTATATTGTGCTGCATATTGTAAATAATTATGTTTGTGATAATACACATTGGTTTTGTAGCATAACTTGTTTGTTTTTTTTTTATTTGAAGTTAAACCGACACTGTAAAGATCATAATACGACTTTGCTAGTGAAGGAAGACCTAAGTCGCCCCATACTGCGTTATTTCAGACACAAGCTGGGACCACAGAGGAACCACCGATCTTCCGTAAGTTGGCCTCGATAGCTTCCTCACATGAAAAAGACTGTAAAGTCCTTGACGCGACTCGAACCCACAGTTGTACAGGGACAAGTAATTTTTAGTCGTCCATCTTAACCATTGGACACCCTTCTAATGTATTAGATTCATATCAAAATAGTACATATAAAACTAACTGACGAAAAGGTATCTCATGAATGATAAAACTCGTGTTTTATACAGCGATTTGAATATAATTCATTTGTCAAGTTCGCGCATGTCCGCCAATGACTTCTATTACTTTTAATTATTATCTTTATCTCAAAGCACAAATCAAAACATTACAGTTAAACGTCTAACAAATATGTAATACATCAAACTAGAGAAAAACAGAATCCCTAAAGAAAGCGCAACACGGCAAAATTGAACATGTTGCAGGCTCGGTTCGATTGAGGAGCCTGTTTATGGACGGTACTGGGAAGTGAAAGTTACCGTCAACACCCCCAAAGTTTGAAGAGTCAGATGATGTACTGTGTACATGCTGATGAATTACAAACTGTAAACTGCAAACCTCAAGATTTATTATAAAATAAATTTTTTATCTCATTTGCTGTAGATGCTATTAATGCATTTGTGTTGCGAAACCCGTTATATTCATTGTTGTAAACATAAGAACACATTACAGTAAGTTTTCAATGTAAACCACAATTCAGTCCACTTAATTATTATAGCGGACAGTGTTTTTCATTAATGCATTGTATACAATTTCAATAACATGGAATGCAACCCCCAAAACACCTGTGCATTAAATGCAATTACTTGAGAAAAGATAATGCGTCAAAGTATTACAATTACATTTTGACATTATCCAAAGCCTGCTACTCATCATGATACTGTATTATATGTCTGTATTGTATGTCGTATAAACCTCTTAAACAAACGGTTTTTCAAGGGAGACCATCTGGTTAATTCTTTGTTTTAAGATCACAAACTCCCCGCAGCGGTTACTTCCCTGAATCAGGACGCCGAAGAATTAAGGGGAAATTACTGCGTGGAGATTAGTAATATTAAATCATACAGATCATTTCCCCGTAACACGGATTAATTGTTATTACTCAATGCCTTTCGGACATCAAACAAAAACACAAAGAGGCATATTCATAACAGTGTATTATCATAATATTTACACAAAAGTAACGGTTTCACGGTTCTTCCCTGAATTATCTAAGTAATGATAAAACACTTACAAACGAAATTGAATAATAGTAGAGCAGTTTGGGGAAATATAAATGGTATAAGTACGAGGAGAAAGAATAGGAAGAAGAAGATCAGTGAGTAAACAAGATGTGTGAAAAAACTTGCTGCCAGACCAGTCGGGCCCGCTATTATAGACAAAAGAAAGTTTTCTGAATAGACGGGCATTCGTTACTCTTTCGAGAAGATATTAAAACGAAGGTAATTTATTGGGTGTAGGAACTTTAGCTTTGCAGAACACAAATTGCCCAAATCTAGTTTACCACATTCTAGAAATCGTAGGACTAGGTAAATAAGATGTGAAATTGAAGTAGTCACATCTATAGTTTAAGGTCTAATGCAAGCTATAGTTGCTGCAAACAAAAAAAGTAGGTAGACAAAACCGTATATCAAAAGTGTCTAGGGCCTTTTGTGAAATTTCCTACGAGTCTATCCCCAAAGGTTCACAGCAAATTATACATTTTTGGTGATAATAATTATAAAACGTTTGCTGTCGTGGACTTCCCTCGTCAAGTAAGAATCAATGCGGTATACCGTACCCCGGATATTGCTCGATACTATGAGGACTTTCATCCCATTTCGCGACTTTAAACGGGGGACGAAGGTAAGTTCAGCGACGAAATTTTACAAACTAATGGCTATTTCATTTATCTCAATGGGTTTTATATATCTAGAGGTATGTTTGTAGCTCTAAAAGACATCAAAGTATTACAGGTATTTTGTAGCATTGATTAAACTACCCCTAAACGATCGGCTGCTCACTAGAAAATACTGACCGCGATACTGTAGACTCGTTAGAAATGATTATTTTACCAAGATAAAAAAATTTTTGAGTCAAACATTTTTTAAAATCATAATCCATGTATGCTTTGTAGGCAAAAAGTGTGAAAGTACAAAAAGATACAGTCCAAAAAAGATACAAGAAAGTGCACAGAGTATTGCAAAATAGCCCAACTTTAGTGTATAGGGTATTGCAAAACAGATTGAGCAAATAAGAATAGAAAATCGATATTTTTGTCTATTTTTTACATCTGTTTATCGATGCCTTTTTATTTTGCTGGTAATGTACTGTTTATGATATTTATTCAAATATTTCAGATTCAACAATGCATATATTCAGTGTTATTACTGTTCTTTTTCTACGGGCAAATACAGAGATTTAATTTCCCATTTGATTGAAAATCACACAGTTTGGATGAAATAAACTTAGTTAATTAATAAGGATGGCGTTAGAGGGTGTGCTTATAGTCGGCAGCAGGGTCGGGAGCAGGGAAGAACCATCAAAATTGATGATAAAAATTCTTTAAATACATGTCTCAAGAAACTGTGACCAGGGAGACCCATCTCTAAAAAGAAGAAAAACACATATTTATATGACATTAATTATACGTTTTTACAGGACAAGTGTGTCACAAGAAACATATCGACACACTTAG